CATGGAAGTCAGAAGAGGGTGTTGGATCCCCTGGAACTGGAGTTACAGGTGGTTGTTAGTCACCATGTGAGTGTTGGGAATTGAACCCAGGTCCTCTGCAAGAGCATCCAGTGCTGTTAACTGCTAAGCCATCTCTCCAGCCCTGTTTCTAGTTTTTTTGAAACAGGCTTGCCTTTGTGGGAGACAGCATCTAGAAAGTTAGTGATATAGGCAGTAAAAAAAAAATTACTAAAGCCTAAAGAGATGAAGAGAGAAAATTTATTGAAATAAGCTGTCTCAGGGCTAGAGAGATGGCACCCATGTCACTAACAACCATCTGTAACTCTAGTTCCAAGGGCATCCGATGCCCTCTTTTGACCTCCGAGGGCACTGCATGACATAGGTGCACTCACACACGTAGGCAATATGCTCATACACATATAAAATTAATAAATTATGTATGAAATATATATATATATATGAATATGAAATATGCTGTCTCTAACAGGCAAATCCCCAGAAAGGGAAACACATGCATGAGAGAGAATAAGAATTATTATTTTTTTTGGGTGTTTTAAGACAAGGTCTTATGTATCCCAAACTAGTCTCAAACTCAACTATGTAGACAAGGATGACCTTGAACTCCAGATTCTCCTGTCCACCTCCTGAGTACTGGAATTGCAGACGTGCCACTGTGCCTGCCGAGCGTTCTTTTTATGACAGTTAGTTATAAACAGAAGTGACATAGGTTTTCCTCAGGACCCCTTGTTCTGAGTCTGATCTGGACACTAGGCAGGATGCCAAATTAAGCAGTAATTTTTTAAAAATATTTTTAAAAATATTCTATTTATTTCTTGTTCTTTTTGAGACAGGGTCTCCCTGTAGCCCCAGCTGTCCTGGAACTCACTATGTAGACCAGGCTGGCCTTGAACTCACAGAGATCCACCTGCCTCTGCCTTCTGAGTGCTGGGATTAAAGGCATGCGCCACCACGCCTGGCTTATTTATTATTTTTATTTTATGTGTATGAGTGTATTGCCTGCATGTATGTGAGTGCATCTGTGTTGTGCAATGCCGCGGAGGTCAGACGAGGGCTTCGGATTCCCCTAGAACTGGAGTTAAGGACCGTTCGTAGCTGCCATGTGGGTGCTGGGAATCGAACCTGGGTCCTCTGCAAGAGCAGTCAGTGCTCTTAACCCTTGAGTCATTTCTCCAGCCCCATAAGCAGTAAATTTTATAACAAAATCATCCTTCTTAAGAGTGGCCATTTGTTCGGGTGCCATGGGTCATTAGGAGTTAGGCACTTGGTGACTGTGTAAGGAGCTCCCTATAGTGACGGCCTGTTAGGTGACTGTGTAAGGGAGCTCCCCGTAGTGACGGCCGGTTAGGTGACTGTGTAAGGGAGCTCCCCGTAGTGACGGCCTGTTAGGTGACTGTGTAAGGGAGCTCCCCGTAGTGATGTGGCCATTTGTTCGGGTGCCATGGGTCATTAGGAGTTAGGCACTTGGTGACTGTGTAAGGAGCTCCCTATAGTGACGGCCTGTTAGGTGACTGTGTAAGGGAGCTCCCCGTAGTGACGGCCTGTTAGGTGACTGTGTAAGGGAGCTCCCCGTAGTGACGGCCTGTTAGGTGACTGTGTAAGGGAGCTCCCCGTAGTGACGGCCTGTTAGGTGACTGTGTAAGGAGCTCCCCGTAGTGACGGCCTGTTAGGATGTGGCGATTTTGCACTTATTTTTGGCCTTTTGTTTCTGCATTGTCATGACAGTTAAAAAAGGACAAAAATCTGTCTTCTTGAGCTGTTTACAACCAGAGTAGGGGCCTTGGGGTGGTTGGTTGGCATTGCTGATCCCTCATAGGGTCAAGAACCATTTTAGAGAGAGGTTCCTGGTGGTTCAGGGAGACGGGTGCTGATGACCGTGGATGGTTGGCATCCCGGAGATGGCGTTTAATGACTTGTAAATCTGTAAGATACTAATCATACCAGAAGGTTAAGTAAGCAAGGGCTAAAAACACAAGACAGAATTCAACAAGAAAGGAACTCTGGGACCGGTAGGTATATGTGACAGATGGCATTGTTGACTGAGAGTCCCACAGACGTTCATCCCATTCGATCAGTGTAGAGTATAATGTCTCGGGATCCAGTCTGGAAGAGATGGGCCAGTATCTAAAAGAATTTTTTTTAAAGATTTACTTATTTTTAGGCCATGCGTGGTGGCACATGCCTTTAGTCCCAGTTCTCAAGAGGCAGAGGCAGATGGATCTGTGAGATTGAGGCCAGCCTGGTCAGCTGGAGCTATAGGGAGACCCTGTCTCAAAAAGACAAAAAAAAAAAGAATTTTTTTTTTGGTGTGTGTGTATGAGTGTTCCACCCACATGTGTGTATATATGTGCACCACATGTGTGCCTGGTGCCAGTGGAGGAGGCCTGAAGAGGGCATTAGATCCTAGAGTTACAGTTACAGGTGGTTGTGAGTCACCATGTTGGTACTGGAAACTGAACCTGGGTCCTCTGCAAGAGCAATAATCAATCTTAACTGCTGAGCCGTCTCTCCAACACCCACGGGCCAGTGTCTCTGTTGTACAGCCATTGGAAGCATAAGCTGTTGAATCTTGGAAGAGGAAAACCCGGTTAGACATTGAGGGACCAGGGATGGAGAAAAGCAAGAAACTCCGCCTGGGGCAGCCAGTCCAGGCCTATCTAAATAACCGGCAGTGGGAAGTCCAGAGCAGCGGCCTGGTGTGACGGGTTTGTTCTGCCCACCAGGGAGGAGAGCAGCGAGGCAAGGGCCTGTTGTGCCAGGCAGAGGACCTGGGTTTTGTCTCTGGAAGCCCCTACGAGGCAGGAGATAGATACAGCCAGTTAGAGCGCACCAGCTGCCTAGTGATGCCCTGGGTGCCCTGTGGGTCTGAGAGTCGTAGGAGGAGGTAGGGATATGCTTTGAAGATGGGTAAAGTTCTCACAGTGTAGGGAGAGCCTGAGGATGAGTGACAGGCCCAGCTGGGATGGGGATTTTCTCCAGTGATGACGAGGAGACATTAGACAGAGTCGGGGTTTTATTTTATTTCATCTTTGCCCTTTAAACTAGTTTTGTAAATGTAACTAAGAGCAATTCAATATCTTCTGAGAACCTTATTGTTTTAAAGAAAATACAGAGAAAACAAAAAAATCTTTATAGGTTAACCCTCTAATTGCAGCTTTGGATAAAGAAAGCAGTTGAGGGTTGGAAGGATAGATCAGCAGTTAAAAACACTTGCTGCTCTTACAGAGGCCCTGGGTTCAGTTCCCAGCACCCACACAGTGCTCACAGGGGTCTGTAACTCCAGTTTCAGGGGATCCAACGCTCTCTCCTGGGCTCCTTGGCCACTGCACATGTGATACATGTGAACTGGGGGACTAGCAAATGGCTACTTTTCAGAGGACCAAAGGAATAGAGAGAAAAAAGACAGAGTCCAGTGGTGTGGGCCAGACAGGTGGCGGGCTGGATCCAGAGTTTAAGCTGTCCACTGTGTTCCTGGTCCAGTGTGTGCACAAAGGCCACGTGCTTTTTGAGGATCTGAGGAGGGAAGTTTGACCAATTTTTGAGAAGGAATCCCAGTGTTGAGTTGAGGTCTGGATGAAGGGTGCAACATCTGCCCCAAAGACATCCCCAGTGGATGGCAGGCCTCCTGTTTATCCTCAAGTGACCCCAGACAAGTGCTCTGGGAGAATAAAAGACCCCAACTCACAAAACCAAAACCCGGGATCAGCACCAGACTGTGCCAGGTCAGGCCTGACAGACCTTAAGCAGAAACTCTCCAACTAAACCTTGGCCACAGGTCAGTCAGGAGGGCATGGGGAACTCACTGTTCTGGTCATCTAGAAGTTTCTTGGACCAGGAAATCTGGTCAGGAGGGGGACAACAGTTGTGTGTCAGCCGAATGCACTCTGCCCTTCCTGTTCCTGGTGCGGTGGCAGTAAATGCTGGTTATGGGGACGTATGGAAGGGGAATGACCAGTGGTCAAATCCACCACATCCTCTGTTCCCTCCTGCTCAGGCCAGCAGCAGTGCAGCCCCAAGGTCAGAGAGGGAAGCAGGAAGAGGGATCCCTCACAGACAAGCACAGGAAGAAGAGAAGATGGGGAGGGAAGAAGGGGAGGTCCCTGTACTACAGGCTGCAGCAGCCTGGCAGAGGGTTGTGCTGATCACCATCCTCATGCCCTGTCCTGGCAGCCACCACTGGCTAAGATGTTAGCTTTGCCCCCACTGTGGGGAGGGGAAGACACTGTTTCCTCTGGCCCAGTGACCCCTGGTTTAGACCTCATGGAGTCGCTCTCCTTGTCATGGGGAAGGGAGGAACCCTCCAGTGGAATAGGGTGGGATGTGACTCACTCTGTGTTCCTGTTCCTCAAGCCCTGTGGCAGATGGCCGCAGTGGGGCATATTTGTGGCAATAAGCAGTTTAACGCCCTGGCTGTGTGACCTCGCACCATGTCTTCCCCTCAGCACTTCTCCTGCTAAGCCGAGAACCCTAGCTCAGACTGAGACAGACAAAGCAGGCAGAGCCGGCTGAGCAGTCACGGGTGCTGGGAACGGGGCTGGGACCCTCACCCCATCCTGCCATAGCCATGCTGGGCTTGTGCTCAGGCCCCTCAGCAACATGAGGGGCACCAGCACTGCCTTGGACCATGAGAGCCACATGGCTGCTGCTGTTTTGTAGGATGGGTGTGTGGTGGCTGCAGGTCCGGGTCTGCACTTCTCTAGTTTGGTGGTAACATGGATGAGGGCAAAGGCTTTTAATGTGGAGTTGACTGTTTGACAGACTAGCCTGAGGTTTTCATTTTCTTTTTTGGTATTTTTGAGACAGGGTCTCCTTGTAGCCCCAGCTGGCCTACAACTCGGTATGTAGGCCCGGCTAGCCTCAAACTCACAGAGATCTGCCTGCCTCTGCCTCCCAAGTGCTGGGACTAAAGGTGTGTGCCACGATGCCTGGCTGTTATTTTGTTTGGTTTCCTGAGTAATGACAGCTTTCTCTCTTTGTTTTAGGACAAAATCTCCCAAAATTTTGCCAGATATTCTGAGGAATATTGGGAATACCCCCATGGTCAGAATCAACAAGATTGGGAAGAATGCGGGCCTGAAATGCGAGCTGTGTAAGTGTTGGGCTCTGTGGGGCTCCATCCTGGGCCACCTCCATCCGGGCCAGGGTCCTGGGATGGCACTAGCCGAGTGCTAGAATCACATTGGTTAAGTCTGGGAAGAAAACACAGGGAGTGTGTTGGTGATTGAGACTCTCCAACTGATAGTCAGGAAAGGGCTGAGCTTGGAGAAAGGTGCCAGCCTGGGAAAGTCCCACAGAGGTCAAAGGCGGAAGTGGGGTGGAGTACTAATACTGGTTCAATAGGGAGGCTGTGAGGTGGTTTTGCCTCAGGGAGGGATCAACAAGCCCTAAATGGCGGGTTGGAGTTTGTGCGGAGTCTCAGCCATCACGTCACAGAAAGCATTTATCTCCAAGTCCACTCACTTGCATGGGATCTGGCAGATCTCCAATCATCTGTGAGACAGAGTGTAGCTGACCAGGTCCTGGGTAGAGACAGGCATCTTACCTCAACCGTTCAGGAAGGGGGTCCTTGCAGGGCGCTGTTCCTGAGAAGGACTGGGGAGGTCTTCGTAGTCCTCACTCTTATCCAGAGCAAGGGCACAAGCCGGCTCGGGCTCTTCCCAGAGGGAATTGAGGGGCACTGTAACACCGGGGAGCAGTGTTACAGATGTGAGGATGCTGGGGCCACGTGAGCAGAGCCTCCTCCATACCCACAGCATTCTCTCTGACTCAGGGGTACAGTCTGCTTGTGGTGGTCTTCAGAAACAACAGCCAGCCAAGGAGGAGGTGGTGTGCGGGTGTTGTGGGGTAGGGGCCTCTCCAGCATGCATGAGGCCCTGGGTTGTTCTCCAACCCTAAAACAGCAATAAAAACCCTAATAAGTTTGAAAGGTAAGCGGTGGGGAGGACAGAAGGCAAGTTAGAGTCGGCACGTGGCGGGCCGAGCATGCTGACTGGGCTTCCTGACCAAGGATGATAGAGACAGTGGAGGGTTTGGGGTCATGGAAGTGCAGTTGGGCCTTTTGGACCGAGGTGGGCTGACTGCCCTGCAGGATGTGGGGTTCGAATCCAGCCTTCTGTGTGTACTCAATTGCTGTTGGGACATGTTTTCTGACTCTTGCACCCACGAGCTCCTGACTGCCTTTCCTGCTCACTCAGAGTGGCCATGGGTCTGCAGGACAGGTGGTGGGTGACAGGTCAGCAGTGACCAGGAGTGCCCAGGTACAGGGGTGAGCAGTAGGAATGGAGATACCTAGAATGGCAAACACCAAGCCCAGCCCTCATCCTGGGGTATATCAAGTAGCAGGGGATGATAGAATCTGTGGGTCCTTTCCTCCCTTGGACTCATCTCTGGCTCCCAGTGGCCAAGTGTGAGTTCTTCAATGCTGGTGGGAGCGTGAAGGACCGCATCAGCCTACGGATGATCGAGGATGCAGAGCGAGCTGGGACCCTGAAGCCCGGAGACACCATCATTGAGCCAACCTCTGGGAACACAGGTAGACATGGGACCAGTTGGGGGAGGACAGGGGGTTCAAGAAAGACAGCTTGGCCATTGGCTACCTCCTTGTGTGCAAGCATGTCCTGCCCAGCTTTGGTCCCAGCAGCACTCCTATGGGCCCCCTGGCAGAACAAGTTCCCTGAGCTTGCTGTCAGAGGACTGGGTTTCCTCCTCGGTGCCGGGAGCCTTGTGTTCCTGCTTCCTGTGAGGGCACAGTCTACATGCACAGGCTTTGGGATCGGAAATGCTGTCTCTTTGGCCTTCCATGCTTCCGGGGTTTGTCCCTGGTGTCACAAGCAGGGAGGGTGGCACTGGGCTTGGGGCACTGGCCCCTGGCAACCTGTGCATGCCGCCTCCAGGGATCGGACTGGCTCTGGCGGCTGCCGTGAAGGGCTATCGCTGCATTATCGTGATGCCTGAGAAGATGAGCCTGGAGAAGGTGGGCCTGGGGGGCCTAGGGTGGAGGAGGGCGGAGCTTGGCTGGGTGGGGGAGGGCGGAGCTTGGCTGGGTGGGGCTGGGTGGAGGCCGGAGTTTGAAGGGTTGTTGCTGCTTCAAATGAGTGAAGAAAGCCAGCTGGCACTGATGGAAGGGCACCACTCAGGCACAGGGGCCTGGTATGAAGATGCGCCATCTTTCCCGGGCAGGTGGACGTGCTGCGGGCACTAGGGGCTGAGATTGTGCGGACACCCACCAATGCCAGGTTTGACTCCCCAGAGTCTCATGTAGGAGTGGCTTGGCGACTGAAGAATGAAATCCCCAATTCTCACATCCTCGACCAGGTAGGCACCCTCCAGCCTGGATGGCAAATTTGGGGAGTTAGATTTGTGCCCAAGTTTCCTATGGGCCCCTGTTGGGGATTTGGAGGATTGGTGTCCGCCTGGTGTGAGTGGGGTGGCAGTGGGAAGGTGCTCTACAGCCCTGCTTAGTGGCAGAGCCTTTATTTTGTGCTGTCCCAGTGCCAGCTTTGGGGGACAGTCTCCCATTGGGTACAGCCCAGCCCTGCTTGGTGGTGGGCAGTGAATTCAGGCCACTCTTTCCAGAGGACCTTCTGGGCTCTGAAGGTGCAGAATGCCTAATGCTCATTTTGCTTCTGGGTTAATTCCACATCTTGGCCACTTGCTCCTAATGTCTCGTGTGTGAGTTTCCTACAGTGACATGTAGGCAGGAGCCTCTTCCCTGGGCTGCCGTAGGATGTGCTGGTCAGCATGTCCAGTGTTCCTGTGTGCCACAGCCCACGTCGCCCTGCTCACAGTCCCTCTGTTCTTCCTATGCCAGTACCGCAATGCCAGCAATCCCCTGGTGCACTACGATGACACGGCGGAGGAGATCTTGCAGCAGTGTGACGGTGTGTGTCACCCACTGTCCACCCACTGTGATTGCATTCACCCCTTGTCCTAGTTCCAGTTCTGTCGCTGTGATAAAAGACCCTGACTTTAAGCACCTTAGGGAGAAAGGGTTTATTTGGCTCAGAATTCCAGGTCACAGTCCATCACAACAGGGAAGTCAAGGCGGCAGGAGCTTGAAGCTGCTGGTTGTGTCACGTCCCCAGTCAAGAACAGAGAGAAGTGAACGTAGAGCTCAGCTCACTTCCGCTGCTCTTACAGCAGTCAGGATCGCCTGCTAAGGGACAGTGCCGCCCACGGTGGGACAGGTCTTCCCACAGCAATTAATGTGCAATAAACACAGTCCTCCACAGACATGCCACAGGCCAATGTGATCTCCACAGTCTCTCACTGAGACTCTTCCCAAGTGATTCTAGGTGGTGTTCGGTTGACAATTAGCACTAACCATCACAGAGTGAGTGTGGTTGCCTGGGTGTGCACAAGTCACTTAACTTTCTCCTTGATAAATTCATGTTCATCCTTCAAAACTCAGCTTCAATGTCCCTCTCTGTGAAGTCGTTTCTGGAGCCGTTGCCTTCCTCTCTGAGCCTCTTGTTTCCCACCTGTGCTTTGCCTGTATTGCCAAACGTGTGGTCTAGCTATTTGCCTAACTTCCAACCCCCGTGCCCTCCAGGCTGCAGGAGCTGCTGAGTCCAAGCTGGTTCTGGCCTCACAGCTGGGGATCCATGGGTGCTGAACAGTGAGGCTCAAGCTCTAACTGGGGTGTTGAATTTGATGTTTTTTCTCACCTCCAGAGAGGTGTGGTGAGGGCTGTAGGTAGCTTACTTTCAGTATAAGCGTGAAGCTCCTTAGAACCATGTGTGGGTGTTGAATGCCCGGCTCCTGGGGCTGATGGGACGTTTTCCTAAGAAGACCTCGTGGGAGAAGGTGCTGGGAGGTCGTACCCTGGGCATCCCATTTGGAAATGGTGCTTGCATGGGTCTGCCTGCGGAGCAGACTTCCAGGCCGGGGAGCTGAGCAGTAAAAGTTCAGGTACTTGCTCACTGCTTTTATAACTGAGAATTCTCATTTGGCAGAGCCAGTGCACGTTGATCCGTTGATCTGCTCCTGAGCTTGCCTGGCTCAGACTTGCCTGATGTTGAGTGTTATGACCTGCAGTGACCCTTAGAGAGCCTGGACAAGTTCTGAGCCAACACAACCACCATTTTCCCTACATTCTAAATGCAGTTAACTTTTGTATCAGTCAGAGCACAGTTCTGCCAGGCTCTAAGCTGCCTGCAGCCCCTCCTCCCACCCCCACTGGCATGACCCTTATAGACTCAACCACATAGAGAATTCAAGGGCAAGGTCATATGCAGTGCGGACTGTAGCCCCTGCCCCGGGCAAATGGGCAGCGTTTGCACTTTAGCACAGGGTTTCCTTCTGAAAGTTTGAGTCATTGGCCCAATTTGAGTTGACTGTGTTTCTTCTGATGGTCTACTAAGTGTGGTGAGCTGGCTGAACCGTGACCTGGGAATGCTCTCCCTCCTCCAGGGAGGCTGGACATGCTGGTCGCTTCAGCGGGCACGGGCGGCACCATCACAGGCATCGCCAGGAAGCTAAAGGAGAAGTGCCCCGGGTGCAGAGTGAGTGGCCCCGTGGGCGGCGCTGGCACGGGCAGTGTTGGCGGCCGGCCGGGAAGGTGGGCCTGGACTTGCTCTCCTCTTGCCTGTGGCATGAGCTCCATTTGGAGGCAGCAGTGAGGCGTTGGCATTGGGCTGGGGAGCCCCTCTGCCCGGAGCTGAGCTCCTCCCTTATTTCCTGTCTCATGGCAGTTGCTGCCTAGTATGGAAATCGTTATACCATCCGGGAGGGACTTGGGGAGCACGGAGTCCTGGGGGCTTCCATGCCGAGTAGGATGAAGCCCTTCGAATTACCCCAGACCTGCCCAAGTCAGTTCCCCTTGAGGCAAAAATTTGCCTGGGGTCTTCATTTGGGTTAGTGACAGGCCTGAGGAAGGGCAGGTAAAAACACCTGGCGGTTGCATTTTCTCTCTGTGAGACTTGTCCACACTTGCAAGAAGAGGTTGATGCCCTGAGCTGCTCGTTTCCCCCAAAGGCTCTCTACCTGCCCCATGACTAGAACCCTTCCCAGGATCCTGTGCTGGATATTAGTCCAGATAGGTTGTAGTCTTACTACTCTTGGTCTGGGATTCTGGAGGTCTCATCCTCTGATCTAGGACCAGCACATGCATCCTGTGAGCAGGTCAACAGGCAGACACTAGGGAGGCAGTGATCACTCTGATGGCAGCCTTCTGGGATGGGTTTAGAATTCTCCCTGGCCTGAACCCTAAATTCTCCCTGGCCTGAACTCTGCAGATCATCGGGGTGGATCCCGAAGGGTCCATTCTTGCGGAGCCTGAGGAGCTGAACCAGACGGAGCAGACAGCTTATGAGGTGGAAGGGATTGGCTACGACTTCATCCCTACTGTGCTGGACAGGGCGGTAGGTCAGGCAGAGTGCTCCCCCAAGGCAGAGCCACAGGCCACTGCCAACTTCTTAATTTCTTTTGCATCGTGGTGCCCAGCGGACCCAGGTGTTGGGCCACTGGTTTTCCATTGAAGGGACAGAAGAGGAAGTACACACACGGAGTTGAGCCAGGGTGAAACCTAGTAGCATGTCCAAGTTTATAACCTGAACCTGCTGGACACAGGCACTGAGATGCAGCGGGAGGGACAGGCAAGGTGGCCCTGGTGGGTGGATGTGGAGTGGTCCCTGTTAGTAGAGGCTCCCAGACCTGAAGGGATGTGGGTGGTCTCAGTTGCTCTGTGCAAAGCATTGGATGGAGGAAGGGCAGAGAAGTCTGTGTTTGCGCGTGCGTGGGGTGCACCTTGGCCACCAGGACAGAAGTCTTCTATGAGGTTGCCTGTCCACTGTGCACGCCTGCCTGAGCTGAGACCCGTGGCCGTCTTGCCGCAGGTGGTAGATAAGTGGTTCAAGAGCAATGATGAGGAGTCGTTCACCTTTGCCCGCATGCTGATCGCACAGGAAGGGCTGCTGTGTGGTGAGTGGCCGGGTGGGCCCTGTGGGTGGCGAGGTAAGGGACAGTACCAGCTGTGTGCCCTCTGCTGCCTTGCAGTCCAGAGCCATGAAAGCCATGGTCATGCTTAGCCTTCAGGACTGCAGCACGTGCCCTTCTCAGGTAGGGCTGTCTATTTGTCCGTCTGTCCAGGCTCTTAGCTCAGCCTGCTTGTCCTCTGCAGCCCCTTGGGGGCCACTGTGCAGATGAGAGCAGGAGGCACGGAGCAACGGCTTCAAACTGCCCTTCTAGTTCTGTTGTCTGCCTCCCTCCCTCCCTCCCTCCCTTCCTTCCTTTTCCAGACAGGGCCTCACTGTCAGGACAGCCCTGGTGTCCTGGAACTCCAAATGTAGACCAGGCTGGCAAGATGGTTTTTCTTTCTGTCCTTGGGATGAGGCTCCATCCACAGGGGCCCAGGGCTAGGAAATGGTGGTCCCCAGCCCCCTGAAGAGATCAGAGAAAGGAGCCCAGAGGGAGCTGGGACAGAGCCTCGTGCCCTCCCAGTTCTTTGTGGAGCTGAGGCCCTGTTCAGAACTGACCTCACCAGCCCTCCCACCCTGATCTCAGTCTCTGTGCTCAGGGAAGGCAGAGCACCTCCGCCTAGCCACAGGGCAACAGAGACCCCAGCAGCTTGAGTTAGTTTCAGGGTTTGGAGGCGCACACCAAGCATGTCTGAATCTGTCCTGTAAACATGCCCTTCCCTGTGTTGAGTAATGTTGGATGGGCACAGGGTAAGGCAGTCTACCCAGCATGGCCAGGTACTCAACAGCTAAGCACTGTGCCAGAGAGAGGAAGCAAACCCCCATGGGATGAAAAGAACTTCCCACATGACAGTTAGGAAAGGGATTTGTGGTCCTGGGCCCTCACTGTCCCCCCATCCTCACTTTGAACAGGACAAGCCAAGGCCTGAGAGCTGGGTATCAGGACTGTGGTCCCCAGAGAGGTCCCAGGATGAGCTGACTCCTTGCACCTCCTTAGGCTGATCCCAGCAAGCCCTAACTGGACAGGCAACAGTAACACTTCTGGCTCTGACTGGGCCCAGGGCCCCATGGGGTCAGTGTCACAGTGAGCCTGGGGCTCTCACTGTAAAATGGACACAAAGCTTGCCTCTGGCACTCAGCTCAGGGCCAGGCATTTATTTGAGGACCAAGTGCCCCTCAGACCTATCCCTGTCACAAGCCCCTGCCATGGCTGTATAGGAAATCCCATTTGCCCCAGGGTCTCCTTAGTTCCTCGGTGACAGCTTAGTTATAAAACGAACGGACTGAGGCGGAAGTTGATACACTGAGGGTTCACATGGATCCTTCCAGAGTGTTTGGGCATGTGTGAGATACACATAGCACACATAGCTGTGTATTCATATTGCATGACTGGCTAGTTCCCACAGATCTTTCTAGGGTGTCGGCATGGACATGTAACACAGACACACAGACACACAGACACACACACACACACACACAGACACACACACGGCAAGTCTAACGTGCTCCCCGCAGGTGGCAGTGCCGGCAGCGCTGTGGCTGTGGCTGTGAAGGCCGCCCAGGAGCTGCAGGAGGGACAGCGCTGCGTGGTCATCCTGCCTGACTCTGTGAGGAACTACATGTAAGGCATGCTCCCTGGTCTCCTGGGCCCTGCCCCCTCCTTCCCATCGTAAGGCTGCTGACACTGCTCCACTGTGTTTATTTAAGAGCTGACAGTGGGTGGGATGCTGGGAGGGGTAGGAAGCAGCCCCGTCTTGTGAACCTGCTAGCCCCAGGGTCCCCGGGAACCAGTGTTCTTGCCTGCTTTGCATGGCTCCATCCTGAATCTTCGTGTGTGTGTGTGTGTGTCTGTGTGTGTGTGTGTGTGTGTCTGTGTCTGTGTGTCTGTGTCTGTGTCTGTGTCTGTATTTGTCTGTGTACATGGTGACTGCTGACTGCTCTTGACGGACAGCTGCACCCCCTGTGTATTTTTCCTGTTCTGTCCTCTTCTTGGCTCCCCTGGGCTCTGAGGGTCAAGCCGCACTGACACCCTTATGGACCGCCCTAGTTGTGCCTCTTGCCCACCTGCTGTGCTATCCCACCAGTTCTCCTGCACTGGTCCTGGGAAAGTGAGTGCAGCCTGATGGGTCTCATAGGACCTGCTGTGAAGTTCTTGGTTAGTGGCCTCTGAGGCCCTGGTGACACTGATTTCTGCATTTGCAAGACAGTCCCAGTTCCCCACCTGGCCACTTGCGGCCAGTGGCCTTGTCCTTCCAGCTGCCTGGGTTCCCGACTGAACTGTGGGGCAGCTGCTCTGGGGCAGGCAACAGGGTTGGTAGAGATGCGTACCCCACACCTTCCTCACCTGTGAATTGTAGTCACATCCATGTTGAGTTTGTGCCCTGGCTGGGCCGGGCATGGTGGGTGGGTATCCTGCTGGGTCCCAGGTGGGGTGACAAGGACTTCTGCCTATCCCCCAGCAGCTCATGAGACCACCCATCTTTGCAGCATATAACTGACTTGCTGTGTGTGCACATTTGTGTGCGTAAACTGATCTGGTTTGTGAACACAAGTATGTTAGAGAGACCAGACGTATAAAAGCATGTGCATGTGTGTTGGTACAGGAGCAGGGGCACCTCAGCCCCACAGATGGTATGTGGCCTGCCTCCTTGGGACTGATCCTGACAGTACTGTGACCTCCTTGCCAGACTTTGGTCAGTGTAGAGGGCCGTCTCTCCTGAGGCAGACATGGGAGGTCAAGGAGGAGGCTGCCCAGGACTAGGAGAGGGGTGGAGATCACAGTCTTCCGGAAGTAACCTCCTGGGATCCTTTTAGGCACTCTGGTTGATGAGATGCTCAGTGACCCTCAGTTCCCATCAGGGTCTTTTGCAAGTCCAGCCCTCTGCCTCCCTCCAGCTTCTGCCAGCATCTCGCCACGTGCTAGAGCAGTAAGGCCCAAGACAGGTGCAAGGGCTCTCAGAACCATATCCCTGTAGTGTGTCCCTATGGGTGCAGAGGCCTCAGTGACACGCCTGACTCTGCAGGTCCAAGTTCCTGAGTGACAAGTGGATGCTGCAGAAGGGCTTCATGAAGGAGGAGCTCTCAGTAAAGAGGCCCTGGTAAGGGTGCTGCCCTGCTCTGTCCTACCTCTGGCCAGGGATGGGCAGGAAAGGTGGCATCACTTTCCCACCACGGTGGTCCCCTCCTGGCTTCACTCTGCCCCGTCCTGCCCTCTCCATCAGGTGGTGGCATCTGCGTGTTCAGGAGTTGAGCCTGTCAGCACCACTGACTGTGTTACCCACAGTCACCTGTGAGCACACCATCGCCATCCTTCGAGAGAAGGGCTTTGACCAGGCACCTGTGGTGGATGAGTCAGGGTCAGTCTCAGCTCCCTGCCCCCAGAGCTCTGCCTTTGGACTCTGCCTGTTCCCTGGCCTGTGTGTCCATGTCACCAAATGGGATGGGCAGCTGAGGTGGCCACAGCTGACAGTGTGGTCGCTTTGCTGGAAAGTGCCTTTACATGCTGAGCCATCTCTCTAGCCCATGGGTTGAGTTCCTAAGAGGAACTCCATGTTGGCCAGAGACCCTGCTCTGACCCATGCCTTCCTGACCCCTGATCCTTTGCTCTCTGCAGGGCCATCCTGGGGATGGTGACTCTTGGGAACATGTTGTCATCCCTGCTTGCTGGGAAGGTGCAGCCATCAGACCAGGTCTGCAAAGTCCTCTACAAGCAGTTTAAACCGGTATGAGCTGTTTCCAGAGGTAGTAGGTATAAGAGGGGCGGGCATCTCTCCAAGGCAGGGCATAGTGTTGGGTGGGTCCCAACACTCCTGGTCCATTCCCCCTTCACAGATCCCACGACCACTGATCTGTCTACTAGTTTGGCCTCTGACTGAAGGTCATGGGGTTGGAGCCACATGGTGTGTCACCTTTCAGGCTGGCTGTCACGTAGAATGCACTTCAGGCCCCACCTTTTCTGCTTGAAACTCATCTGAGCATTATGGCATGCCGCCTTGCCTCTGTTGAGTCTTTGGGGAACTCTGACAGCTGTCAGGGAGCCTCTCCTCAAGGGTCAGCAGGTGGTGGTCACTGGGTGAGCACTGACACAGCTTATCTTGCAGATCCGCCTGACTGACACGCTGGGCATGCTCTCCCACATCCTGGAAATGGACCACTTTGCCCTGGTGGTCCACGAGCAGATCCAGTGTGAGTGAACTCCACTTGGCATTAGGTTCTTGTTGAGGGAAAGGGTGCAAAATCCTGGACACTGGCCATGCCTGACCCAGGCTGTCGTGGTACACGCTCCTGCCGTGTGTATGTGTAAGAGGCAGATGTGCCCTCTGGGGGAGATGGGGCATCTGCAGTATCACGTTTCCCACAGTCTTTGACATCCTGAATCTCTCCCTGTGTCCCAGGTTTGTGAGCTACAGTAGGCTATGAATCCAACCATGTACCCAAGGGACACACGGGGCCAGGCCACGCTCTGGTAAATCCTCGAGTCACTTATCTGGCTACACCACAGTGGTCCTGGGCCCATAGGCTGAGATAGGCAGCAATCTTGAGGTTGCTGGGGCAGTCGGAATTCTTGGCCCTTCATACTATCTCACATCCCTAGGGGACAGTCACTGCCTCTGCTGGCCTCATGGTCCTACAGGGGCACTCTGAGGGACGCTCTGGGCAGCTGTCAGAGGGGGATAGCTCCTAGGCCACACCCATCTCATTGCCGTCAGTACAGGCACACCTCCTGTTTGCCCTCAAAGCTCCTTCCTGGGTATGCACATCTCTGCGGGGGTAGGGGAGCCCCTCTCAGGTCCCAGCAGGCAGTGCGGGGTGTCTATTTCAGTCCTTTATCCACAACTGGGAGGGCACAGATCTGGCCCTGAGGCCCACCTGCAGACTGCTCCACATGGTGGGCATGTGGGGGTGGTCCCATGTCTAACCCCTCTCCCGTCCTTGGCTCTACAGCACGAGACCAGGCCTGGTCAAGAGTGGTGGGGGGGCCCACAGGTATGTACACCCCACTTATCCAGCCCCTAGGAAGAGGCCCTCATGGTCAGAATCACAGCTTTCCAGGGGCAGAGAAGGGCATCTAAGGCTTTGGGCCACTGAGCTTGAGGGTGGGGGGGATGTCCTACTCTTAATTATAAACTTATGTTCCAACATTTCAAAAAAAATCTGAATTCCAGCTTCAGGGGCTGGTGGGATGACAGGCAGAGCTGAGTTGTCACAGACCTAAAACACTCCTCATCTTGGTCAGCTTGGTCAGCCCCACTGGATTGGGACCTAGAGCTGGGTTGGGCAGTTCTATGCAGCCTGCTGTCACATGCTCTGTTGGGGAGCCAGAGCCAGACAAGTGGCCACTTCCCCTCAGTGGCTCCACAGTGTAGGCAGCTGGTTTCTTCTGGGTTTTCCCGTCTTTTCAAGGTTCTGGATAGGCTAGTTGGGGTGCCTCTCCTGCATGGGTCTCCCCAAAGGCCCTCTGTTCAAACACTTGAATCACCTTCTGCACCTCCCAAGGACTGTACCAGAGAACAGGTCTAAAAGAACATACATCTGCAAAGAGAGATCTGGCTTTGATTGATAGGCCACCCATCATTATGGAGGCTAACAACAGGCCAAGTGTTCAGTCTAGCATCCCAGGAGAGCTAGTGTAGTAGTTCGAGTCCCAAATAGGAAATACCTCCTAACTCACGCACGTGCCCCACCCCCACAACCCCTTCCCTGATTGTACAAGGCTCAGCACAGTGGGGATGGCCTGTGCCTTAGTCCCTTGATTCAAATACACTCAGACATACATGGAATACTGTGTGGACAGAAGTCTGGGCTCCCTGTGTCCTGTCAAGCAGATGGAAAAATTTACCACCATAGCCCTGTCTGCCTGCAGGACATGTGGTGTGAGGCCAGGCCTCATCTGATCTGAAGCTTGGGCCTGAGAGATGGGTCTGCAGATAAGACTCAGGCCAGGTGAGCCCAGTGGGCCCTGGGTGTCAGACCAGCACTCTGGGCCAGGAAGAGGACCTGTGGCTTGTCCTGATGCAGTGATGTTGAACATGGCATGTGGCCACGGGCTGAGAGGAGGCACCTACCTCCCAGGCCATTCATTCCGGGGCACCTAGGTCAGTTGTGTGTTCATCCTGGACAGCATCCAGCACCATGCTCTAGGGCTGATGGGAGGAGCTACTTTCTGGCTCCACCCACGTGACTTCACTGGAGCAAGGTGGTGGCTGCTGCACAGGTGCTTGGGAGGCTGGGGAAGGGCCTGTTGATCAGCTCTGTATCCATCATCTTTCAATCAGCAGCTATTTCTTTTCCTCAGACCACAGCAACGGCAATTCCAGTGAGCGACAGATGGTGTTCGGGGTCGTCACTGCTATTGACCTGCTCAACTTCGTGGCAGCCCGTGAACAGGACCAGAAATAGAGCCAGGAAGTTGGGCTCAGCTTCCACCCTCCCTGCTTGGCCCTCTTAGTGTTCAGAGACATTGAGCTAACCTGAGTTTACGTTCCCAGGCCTGGCCAGTGGCAGGTGGCAGAGGGAGCTTTCTAGACCTGTTGCAAAGGCCCAGCCTCCCCTCCTAACACCAGGCTTCCCGAATGAATCCCATGCTTGACTAGTTTAGATGGGCTTTCCTATGATGTCACTTCCTCCTAAAATGTCTCACTTATGATGGGGAATTGAGGCGAGTCAGCCAGGGAGGATAAACACACAGTACAACTGGGGCAGAGGAGACGGATAGTGCCAGAAAGCACGCACCCTTCCCAGAGAAGCCTCTGTAATCTGCAAGCACAGAACCTGGACTGTCTCTGTGCCCATCCTCATGGGTGCTGGCATAGTTGGAGCATGTGGGTTTTAATGAAGGTACAGTTCTTGTGACCCCCATCTGTGGTACACGGTGCACACAGTGTCCCCACCTGGGGCATGTTGTCCTTTAGGCAGTCGTTCCTCACTCTTCCCTGACACCTACCTCCCGTCTCAATGATCCCCCATTCTGGACCTTGCCTATAAATGGTCGTACAGCCGTGACCCGTGTCTACCGTGTTTCCCTCGTGGTCCCACACTGCAGCACGTCAGAGCTTGTGTCTTTTCACGACTGGATAATAACATGTTGTGTGGATGGCCCTTGTTCTCTTCTGTTCATCCACCGACAGGCATCTGAGCTGTCTCCACGTGTGTCTGCTTGAATGTGTCGCTCTTCTGGGGTCTACCCTGGGGTGGGCTTGCTGGGGTACAGCTGTCCTGCATTCTACTTGCTGTTCACGTCCTCACCTGCTGTGTCCCAGGGCTCCACTATCTCAGTGTCCTTTTCTGCCTTTGCTTCTTACCACAGTGTTCATGCTCCTGTGAAGTGCTCCCATGGTTAGGGTTTGCCATCCAGTGGCTGCCAATATCCTCAGTGCTACATCATTTTTAAATCAAGTTGTCCTTTTGTTTCTTTGGCTATAGGGTTTTTTTGGGGGGGGAGGGGGGAGAGGTCAGGGGCTCACTATGTAGCTTAGGCTGACCTTGAATTCAGAATCATATCATCGGTCTCAGCCTCTTAAGTGCTAGGGTTACAAGCGTACCAATCCTGCCCAGCTTACTGGTCAAATGAGGCTAAGACAGGACTACCACAAGTTTGAGGCCCACCTGGGCTACATGGCAAGACCCTGTCTCAAAAATAAATTTTAAAAGGAATTGTCTGGGTCTTTGAGATGGTTCAACAGGTAAAGGCACTTGCTGCTGCCTCATGACCCGGGTTCAGTTCCTGGAACCCACATGGTAGAGAGTCCTGAAAAGTCTCTGACCCTCACACGTGTGCCACGGTATACATGCTGGCCCCCACACATGCGACATGGTACATGTGCTGAACCCCACATGTGTGCCATGGTATACATGCACCCAATTAACAGAATAAATGTAGAAAACACCTACTGGGACTGAGGGTATAGAGTAACCACACAGCTTGTAGGAGGTGTTAGGAAGAAAAAGGAGAGGGGGAGAGGGTGAGCAGGGTTGGAGCCAATTGGCAGGGAAGTGCACAGGGGCATCAAGGCTCCTGAACAATGTTGTGTTAGAAGCGAAGCTCATTCTAGAATGTGTAAAGTGACTCAGTAATCCAAGCCATTCCCTTACAGATTTTTTTCGGTGGCCTAATCTAAAACAGTGAAAAAATCCCAACAAAACAACTTTGAGGGCACAGGAACCACATGTCCAGGGGCAGTAGCCTCCCCCTGCCTGGTGACCAACAGAGTCTGCATCAGCCACAGCTGGCTCTCTGGAGCCATGCTTAATTAGACCAGTACTGACTAGACAAGATCAACGTCTAGCATTTATTCTTAAAGAAATTAGAGCCAGTTTCCTCTGGTGACACTGGAAGTGCTTGACAGCCTCTGGTCCCAAATCACAGCTTCCAGACCGTGAAGGCTTAATTTTTTCACTGTGTGGATATGCGTGTGCACGCCCCATGGTATGCATGTAAAGGTCAGGAGACAGCTTTAAGGAGTTGGGCCTTGCCTTTTGACATGGGTTCTGGGCACTGAACTCGGATCATCAAGAGTTGTGCGCCAACTGCTGTGACGCGGAGCCATCTTGCTGGCCTGTGGCTGGTTTTAAGTTCTGCCACAGCATTTCCTTCCTGCAGGCTGCTCTGATGACGCCTTCCCATGTTCTCAGGGACATGCAAGTGCAAAGCACGATGAAGACTGAAGGAGAAAACGGGTAGTCATGGAGCCATGACTAGGACAGGCACACCCCCCTCCCCTCCACATCAGCACTCGGCCCAAGGGAATTGGTGGAGGCTGTTTAGCCACACGAAGTCTTGAGCTCCATCACTCACCCACTGGTCCAGCGGATATTCCCTCAGTGCTCTCTGAGCTCAGGCCTGGCCGGTCTGGGGTTGACAGGAACACACAAAGTCCCTGGAGCCTCACAGCTAGTGGCATAGGCAACAAGAAGTGAAACAGGTGAGCTGTGTGGTACAGAAGGGGACAAGTGGTGTCAAGACCGAGGTGGTCCATCCACACAGCCGTTCTCATTAGCAAGGAGTGACAGGCTGCCATAAGGCATGGAGGACCCTGACCTCAGACAGCCACAGAGGGACACATGCTGCCAGCCTCCACTCGAAGTTCAGGGAGCCTGCCCGTTCATGGGTGGATAGTGGGGTAGAGGTGCAGCCTTTGGGCCAGAGCTTTAGTTGAAATGACAAAATTCTGGAGGTGGACATGGGAATGGCTGTACAGCTAGGGCGTCCTTAATGCCACTGGAATGTGTACCTAGACATGGTTATGGGGACAAACTGTGCGCACTTCTCCATTAGTAAATTTTTATTTTATGTATGAAGTGTATTGCCTGCATGTAAGTGCACCCATGTTGTGCAATGCCCATAGAAGTCAGAAGAGGGCATCTGATCCCCAGGAACTGGAGTTACAGACGGTTGTTAGGCACCATGTGGGTGATGGGCAGAGGCTGGCGTCAGCCTGGCCAGTATCCTGGTCCTGGTCTCTGGACATCACAGCAATGGCTGGAGCTGCCCAGCACTGAGCCTGTCCGAGGTAGGAGTGGTCCTCCTTCAACATCACTAAAGGGCTTTGTTCTGCAGACTGCTGACACCCTTGCTGGCTTTGCAGCCTGGGAAGATGGAATTGTGGAAGAAAGCCAAGGAAGCCAGAACAATGTGGACTCGCAAGCTTGTCTCCTGTGGGTGTCAACCTTTAGGAGGCTGTGACCCCTGGTGCTAGGCTGTCCTGGGGGTAGGTGAGGAAGTTCCACGTCCCTCCTGACAGCTCAGATCAGAAGCAGTGTTCTCAAAAATCAATCCTGAGGGTGGAGTTGGCTGGCCAGTGTCCCTGCTCCAGCAATCTCAGGGCTGCTTGGGTGACCCTGCCTGTCCTCTCCCTGGGCTTTCCTGATGCCCACTGAGGATGCCAGGCACGAGGTCCCCACAGGGTAGAGAGGGTCCAAGAATGCAGAGAATGCCATGGAAGTGCCCGAGGTCAGCTGTCTTCATCACAAATTGGAAGCATCGTGAAGGTGTTCCAATGAAGGAACGAAACACTCCACAGGGTCAGGTTCAGCGCCTCTTTGTTTGCTGGAGGGCCCACCGTCTGCGTTTGCCGGAGGGCCCACCGTCTGCGTTTGCCGGACGGCCCACCGTCTGCGTTTGCCGGAGGGCCCACCGTCTGCGTTTGCCGGAGGGCCCATCGTCTGCGTTTGCTGGAGGGCCCACCGTCTGCGTTTGCTGGGCAGGTGCATTGCAGGCAGGGCTGAGCTTGTGAGCCACGGGGACAGAGCCTGTCCAGTCAGGTGCAGCTTGCCCAGAGGCACAGGCTGCCACCCTCTGTGGGATACACTGACCAGCCCGGTCAAGTCCCCCCGAGGGGCCAAGTGCAGGTATCTGGGCCAGCTGGTGGATTACTGTTGAGGCTGACGTGCCCACGGCTTCTAAGCTGCAGGAGTCAAGAGTGGTGATTCACCAAGTCCTAGTGAGCCGGAGAGTCCATGAGCAGTAGAGGCCAGGACAGGAAGGACAGCGGGAGGCCTGGAGGTAGGGGGTTGGGCCACAAAAGGCCTCACTGGGCAGAATGATCTCCCCTCCAGTCAAATCCAGAGGCTTGGTATAAACCCAGGCAGGATGTGTGAATACACATATGCTGGGTGTGAACCTGGGCAGGTTGTATGAATGCACACCTATCTGTGACTCACCTGCTCACTTCCAGAGCCCTCCACCAGCAGGTGGACAGACTGCTTGTTAGCTCCTCAAGTTGCTTTCAGTTCTCCGAACTAATTTTGTACTTTAGAATTAAGAATTTCTATAGTGAGCTATGATAAAACACACACCTGCTGTTTTTAAAATAATTTAGGGGCTAAACTGAGCATGACAAAACTCAACAGGACATGTACTTACCGATGTAAAGGTTTAAGCTCTAAGGAAATGCAAAGACTGATGAAGTGTGGAGGGGTAAACTGGGACGATGGCGTGTGGATGTGGCAGACAAGAGCGCAGACACCAAAGCTGTGCCTTGGCACCAGAGTAATGAGGACAGATGGGGACTGGAGATTCGAGGAGGGCATGCCACAGGGCAAAACCCAGATACTGCATTGGGCCTGACTCGGGGATGTGAGTTCATGTAGGGTTCACACACGGCCCAGCCGCACAGCCTGGCTTGCTCAGGACACAATTCAGATTCGTCACCCAGCACTGACTACTAGGTCTACTGGTTTAGGAAGGATTACCAGGGCCTCAGGACCTAGCTGGGAATGACCCAGACCAACTTCCCCTATGTCCCTATCCCACTGCTAACTGCACCCCCACCCCAAGGTGGGGAGCAACTAAAAGCCATCACTGTCATTAAAACTGTCCTTTTCAAATATGCTGGGATAAAATAATTCCTAGTTTATATTAAAGCCACTTTTTTTTTAAAACATGTCTAAGTCTTGGGTTCAAATAACAAGATACAGAATGAGTTGTTGGTCCCTCTCTTTGGGGCAGATGAAGAAGTTCCACTTCCCTCCAGCAACTCAACTCGGAAGCTAACGTTCTCAGAATCAGTCTTGAGAGTGGTGTTAGCTGGCCGGGCCCCTGCTCCAGCAACCTCAGAGCTGCCTATCTTTGCCACCTGTAAACCCTGCTTGCCTATGAAGTACTCACCAGATGATCCCTGATCTCAGGCGATACCATCCCTCCAGAGTCTTGGAAAGGCCAGGCAGTGAGGCTGAGTGGAGAGGTGGCCGCCAGAAGCTGCTCTGTAGAAGGCAGTGTGCTGTTATCAGCTCGTGGGCGCTTGCCACCTTGCAGACAGCCCTTCCCATAGCTGTCTGCTGTGCAGGTACATGTGCTCAGATGCCACAGCTGTGCGGGGGTTTGCATGCTTCAGTTTTGGAGACAGGTTTTGCTATGTAGTCCAGGCTCTTTGGACCCTCAGCCCCCCGCCTCGGCTTCCTAAATACTGGGATTATCAGCATGAGCTGCCCTGCCTGGCAACATTCCAGTCTGGAAATGGAAGGGTGTGCCTAGGACTTGGTGAAGGCTAAAAGACCTAACTGTACCAAAGCAAAACAACAACAACAACAAAAAAACCCATGAATTCCTCTGGGAGTCTGTGGTGGTCCCCTGAAGACCCCATATATTTGGAAACTTGGTCTCGAGCTTGTGGTGCTGTTTGGGAGGGTCATGCAACCTTTAGGAGGTCCAGCCGTGTTGGAGGAAGCATGTCACCAGGGACGGGCCGTGAGATTATATAGCTTGCCCACTCCATTCTGGCTCTCTGTGCTTCCTGCATGTGCTTGAAGATGCTCTGGCCATGTCTGCCCCTATGCTGCCCACCATGACGGACCCTCCCTCTAGAACTGTAAGCCAAATAATCTCTTCCTCTATAAGTTGCCTTGGTCATGGTATTTTATCGCAGCAGCAGAGAAGTAACTAGTACACAGTTCCATAGAAAGGCTTGGGTTTCAACAACATTAAGGTATTTGTACAAATCAACAAAATGCACAACTCTAGAATTTAACCCCCACACACTGCCTATCTGCAGTATTTGCTGGCACAGCATTCCTCTGTCCTCTGCGGGTCTCCGTCTAGACAGGTGTGTGCAATCTTGTTATCAACAAACCTCACTTTAGAGCCTGAATGAAGCTTATGAACCAAATTCTCCCTTCTCACAAAAGAGGGCTTTTGGCCTAGTGAGCCTGGGACCTGGGGTCTCATTCCCTTGGACCTCTAGGCGCTCAGGAAGTACGTAGCTCCACCTTCTGAAAGTCCCTCAAGTACTTCCTGAGATAAAGTTCTCCTGGCTCCCACTCTGTCCACCAGGAGTCCCAATTCTGGATGTCCTTTTATTTTTTACTTATTTTTCAGGCTTTTTGAGACAGGGTCTCCCTGTAGCCCCAGCTGACCTGGAACTTGCTATGTAGACCAGCCTGGCCTTGAATGCACAGAGATCTGCCTGCCTCTGCCTCCCAAGTGCTGGGACTAAAAGCGTACACCACCACGTCCAGCTTTTTATTTTCATTTTAGATAAGGTCCCATGTATCCCAGGCTGGTCTTGAACTTACTATGGAGCCGAGGATGAGCCTGAAGTCCCCTTCAATCTGCTGACAGGTAACTCCAAGAAGCACAAGTGGTTGCTGGGCACTTGCAACACCTGGACAACTGTTCCAATGCACCTGGAACATGCCCAGGAGCTGACTTCCAGGGACACCCTACAACATGGACTGCGGAAGGTCACGTTGCCTTACTAACGAGTCTCTTTCTTCTTGTTACTGTCAAATAATCTGATTTATGGAAAACTATAACCGTGAAAAACCTGTTACCAATTTTCAGCTGAAAAATGACTGAAGACTGGAAAGTGGGAGCACGGGTAAGCAGTCAGCAGGGTGTCTGACCTTTAGGGTACACAGGCCTGTCCTTAGGAGCCCCGTGTGTCAGTATTCATGTGTAAAATAAAACACCGTAAGGCGTGTTTCTATTTTTAATTTTTTTGCTTTGATAAATCAATTGCTTCACAAAAATCCTCTTAAAGACAACAATCCAAGAAAACATATTGTTACAGTATTCACATTTTAAAGATTGTCAGTTTCAAAGACGGTAACTAAAAAAGGCAGACCTCTGAGTTCTCTGCCTGCCAGAGGTGGCCTTTGGGATGGGCAACGCCCCTGCCAGTGCCCCGGAGCTGTGCAGAGAGGAGCACGTCCTGCTGCCCACGCAGGTGCGCTGCTGCCCATGTGGGTGCCCTGCCACTCAGCAGGCTACACAGGGGCCAGCAGCCCTAGCTAGAAGGACCATCTGCATCTGCACCTCTGTGTGTTTAGACAATCTGGACTCAAGAAGCTAAAAGTTGAGCCCCTCAGCTGGGTAGGCCAGCCAGGCTAGGCTTCTGCTAGGCAGCTGGACAGCAGGAATGACATGGGTTGACTGCAGGTCTCAGAACACATTCAAAAGGCTCCAAGGTTAGGGAGGAACTCAAGAAGGGTGGGGCGTGACCGTTCAAACAGGTGCTAAGGGCTGTTTTGGATTTTCTCCCTAGGACAAGGAATGGAAAGCAGGGGTTTCTGGGTTTTGGTTTTTCAAGTTGCACCAAAGGCTGACTGCAACCTCACAGCAATTCTCCTGCCTCAGCCTCCCAAGTGCTTGGATTATAGGCATATGCCACCGTACCCAGCAAGCTGGGTTCTTTAAGGTGCAACTGATAACAAATGTGCTAGGCAGGGATTCCATGAACCAAAACAGCTTGCCTCATGGGAGTTATTTAAAAGCATCTCAGTTACTCATGGAGAAGTGGAAGGAAACCCAGGCTATGCCCCGTGCCACTTTTTTGCCATGTTTTTTTAAAAAGGCAGGGTCAGGTTATGTCACCCAGGCTGGCCTTTAGCCTGTGAGTTAACGTTCCTGAGTGCTGGGATTACAGGAGTGTGCTATTGTGCTCAGATTTCTGTACGATCTTTATACCACTCCTTTTAGTTTAGCAGGTAAGAGTTGAGGGCACAGGGCTTGAAAACTAATTTCAATGGAAAATCACATGCTGCATCAATCCCCAGGTGCTCAGATCCAGCTACGGCAGCCCCAGGCACTATGAGCCAGCACACAAACTGCGACACGGTACCACGCTTCCCACAGGAGAAAGGCATTCTCTGGGAGTTCACACTATGTGAATGTTCAGCTATGCTGAAGAGGAAGACAGGCTGGAAGGGGGCACTGATTGCTCCACAGGGTCAAGATCTAAGGAGCCCAACAAAGCTGGTGTGCCACAGAGGCAAACAGTCTTTCGGGCTTTTGTACATCTGATTAAAATATTAAAAGCAATTTGTAAGTAAGGAGTGTGAAGGCTGCTTAAAATGTTACTCTCACCTCAGAAGACGTACTGACATGTTTTCCTAGAGGTGGAAGCTCCTGCACTCCCTGGAAAGGAACCTCCTGTGCTTCTTGTTAACCGTGTTGTTGTCCAGGGCATGCTCCCCACAACTGAATGAAACCAAGACATTTGGGGAGGGGGTGGGGGGTGGAGTCAGTTCCAGGCAAAAGTATGAACTAGCTAACGATGTCCCCCATGTAACCTTGGTCCATGACCAGTCACCACCGCTCGATCACAAGACCTGGCATCCTTGCTGACCTCACAGCTGTCCTATGTCGGCAGGAAGGCCTGGGCACCCATCTGACATGACACAGATGGTGCTCCACATGAAGCATATTTTCTGAGAAAAGGCCTCACTCCTAAGTAAACCAAACTAAATCAAAACCCAAACCCTCAAACCTCAGCCTACTGTTCTGGGGCATCTTATTACCAGGAAATGAAGTCCCCCAATTACTCCAATTCTCATGTGGTAACTGGAAAGGAAGGACACTGGAAACCGAAGCAACAGCATGCAACAAGAGCATGTGACAGCAAGAGAGCCACGGCACACGTGTGAGCTGACAAAGCCTGTCACAATACCTTCCATCACCGTAACGTCCAGGTGTCTGCCCATTATATAAGACAGTTCGGATATTTGCAGTTTACCCCAGCTCTGAGCCAGTGGGGTAGAGCATATTTTAAATTAGTTTATAATAAACATTCTATGTTTAACATGTTTTTGACTAAAAGAAAAAGTCTAAAATAATACCCAGTTACTACATGGTGATAGCCATGTAACTGCAGTCAGGTCTGAATGAGGCTGGGCCGGCATGGGAGCACTGTGACTCCCTGCGGACCACTGCTTCTCTCACTCACTGTCCACCCTACTGAGCACATCAGATCAGTAGAAAATGCCATCTGAGCATTACATAGAGACCAAAAATTGGAGATATCAGAAGTTCATTCAACAATTGTCTCCTTTTAGCAGTTAAGGTAAACCTCCTCCCTGGGAGCAGAAGACACGCCAGGATGGTCAACTGTGGGCACAACATTCAATTTAGGCATTCCAGAATATTCCAAATCATAAGACAAGCATGTGCTGTTCCTTCTCTAGAAATTTTATCTTCAATATAGTCATAATCCAATTCATAACTAATTTATAAAAATAGCTTTTTATCCAATAATCACAGCAAGGTAAAAATAGGAGTTTCTTTTTCTATACAGCAAATGAAATAGGCTGCCCACACGAGAACTGAAGTGTGTTGTGGTCACCAGCCGTGCCTAGTAACTGAAACATGGCCCATCTCGGGCCATTGTCCCTGCACACGGCAGCTCTGGCTACAGAGCGTCTTTTGGACCTGTGGGCAACACCAACAGCAGCCCCCAAGACCTGCTGTAAACCACAGAGCTAAATTGTAACTGCGTAATTTTTAGAAAATGGCAGCACTGTTCCTTAATCTGAGGAGGGGCTCAGGGGCAGGGCCATCCATCACGTTTCTAGCATTAAAAACCCACACAGGTACATCTGAAAGTTGCTGCACCAGCAAGGACGCTCTGTAGCTCACTATGAAATACAAAAGTGCACTCTTCTATATCTACATAGAAAACATATTAGAAATGAAACTGTAAAATGTTTGCTGTGCAAACAATCAAGTCAGGTGTGCCGGCTCTGCCTGGCCCCTGCCGCCGCCACCCTACTGCAGAGAGTCGCTGTTCTCCAGGACCAGCCCCCCGATGTGCGTGGGGGCCAGCGCACCCCCATCATCTTCTGTGCTGTCCACGGACTCATCTTCGCTCTGACCTGCCATCATGACCTGCTGTACAGCCAGGGTGGCCCCGTCTGAAGACAGTGACTGAAGGCTGTCCACGTTCATGTTCACGGGTGTGGTGATGGTTACAACGGCACCTGCAGCAGAGCACAGAGCGTCACTGCTTCCCCTGGCACTCAGAGAAAATCATGTAGCAGACAGGGCGGCAGAACTATGGAGCAAAATAAACGCTTTCTAAGTTAATTGTCTTCAGTGTTTTATGATGATGACGGAAAGGTGATTAAAACAATATTTTCCCATTATTTAGCTAAAAGAGAAAACAAATCCTAAAAATATAAACTAAGTGTAAACATAAGATCACTGCATATCAAAACCCAAGCAAAAAAGCCAAAACATTATCTGGGAACTTGGCCTTCAATGCACACGCCACCGAAGGCTTGCCAAGTGGAGCCAGGCTTGGCAGCACACATGTGTAGTTCTACGGCCTGCAAGGCTAACATGAGGATCACATGTTCAAGGCAAGCCTGGGCCACTTAGCTAGATCTTGTCTCAAGAAACAAAAAGAGGAGCAGGAATTAAGTGCACAGGCTTCATAATCAGGAGGACCAGACTTGGGCCCACAGCACCACAGAGCAAGCCAGGCCTTGACCAAGTCCTGTCCAAGGGATCTAGTGTCCTTTTCTGGCCTCCATGTACACAAAGGACACACACCATCCTTGCCCCATGTGTGCACACACTAACACAGAAGCACACACAAATAAATAAATCTATAAAAAAGGAAAGAAAATATGACGCATAGCCCAGCTCACTGCTGTTGAGACCAGCCCTGTCATGGAAAAATCCCCCTTAAGTGTCTAGCTGAGAATCATCAGCATGTGTGTGAGAGGAAAAGACTGGACTGGAAAGAGCCACCTGAGAGGGCTAGCGAGTAAGAGTTCCTGCTGTGCAAGCCTGCTGGTCTGAGTTTGACCCCTGGAACCCACAGGAGAAAGAGAACCAGTTCCTGAACCTTGTCCTCTGACCTCCACATGCACTCTGCACACACACATAACAATATTTTTTTTTTTTAAAAAAAAGAACAATCTGGGGCTGGAGAGATGGCTGAACGGTTAAGAGCACTGACTGCTCTTGCAGAGGACCTGGGTTCGATTCCCAGCACCCACATGGTGGCTACAGACTGTCTGTAACTCCAGTTCCAGGGGAATCCGAAGCCCTCTTCTGACCTTTGTAGCATCACACGACATGGGTGCACTCACATACATGCAGGAAATACACTCATACACATAAAATAAAAATAATAAATATTTTTAAAATTTAAAAAATAAAAAATAAAAAGAGAACAATCTGAGACATGGCAGGAAACCATATCCAGTGCTCACACAGCCATCTGGAAAACGCACCCACAGGCAATGGCTGGAGAAAGGTCTGACTTCAGCAGGGGTTCAGCCCTAGACTGAGCTCGACTGCAGATAACCAACAACTCATAAGAACTAGATTCCAAAGGATTGATCTGTTCCTAATCAACCTAGCTGCTACCCAGAGCAGCACTCTGCATAACTTTGCAGGAATGAGAAACTAGCTGGCACCCAGCAAGGCTAAACTATGATGTCTGGTATCTAGCCTAAGATTACGAGGCACACAAATAGGAGGAAAACCCAGAAAATAATCCAAACCCACGCAGGACTGAGAGTCATTGAGTTAGCAGAGGCTCTCCAAGCAGCCACTGGATCCCTGCAGGTCACGAGGTGTTCAAGCTCAGATGCTACTTCTGGAAAGATGACACAGGGCATCTAAGAAGAATTCACATCTATGGGGTCAGCACAGACCAAGCAGTACATAGGGGGTCAGTGACCAGGGAGGAGAGGACCAGACAAGCTTCAGTGTGGAGCAGATGGACTGGAACCTAACAACCTAGCATGGACAACTCAAGGCCGGGAGAGGAGGCGGGGGGTTTGGGTGGGGTGTGACTCAGAGCAGAGTGCGTATTTAGCATGAGTGAGGCCAGAGTTCCATCCCCAGTTTTCCAAAAAATACAAAATTGAAGAACTTAAAATCACCCCCTAAGCTTCCTAACTGGATACCATGGGAAAAAGAGGATGAAGGTTAGACATCAGTACTCTGCGCACCACTCAAGAGCACGCACCCGGGGAGGCAACGGCGCATGCCTGCAGTCAGGTGAGGGGACTGCTTGAGTCCAGGAATTCAAGGCCATCCTGAGCAGTACAGTGAGACCACAGTGCAAAACAAACTGAATGCACAGAAAACAAGAGAGTGGCTCATGAAACACACCAAATGGGGCCCAGGACATGGAAAAAACAAGGTCAAAAGCGCACATCTTTAGTCCCAGCACTGGGAGGCAGAGGCAAGCAGATCTCTGCGTTCAAGGCCAGCCTGGTCTACATAGTGAGTTCCAGGACACTGTCTCAAAAAGACCAAAACAGAAGAGTAAACACCACCATGTGATGCGCACACGCACTAAGGAAAGACACGCAGGTGAGCAGGCGCCACTGTTCGCACTGAAGGCTCAAAGGAAAAGGGACGCAAACAATAGTCGGCTGTTAGGACGAGAATGACTTCGTATGTGGCATGCGTTCTTAAATTCTCTTCCCTAACACCCACCAGCACTTTTTTTTTGAGACAAGGTCTCCCTGCAGCCCCAGCTGGCCTGAACTATGTAGACCAGGCTGTCCTCGAACTCACAAAGATCCACCAGCGTCTGCCTCCCAAGTGCTGGGATTAAGGGTGTGCGCCACCACGCCTGGCACTCTTTTCTTTCTAGGTAAGATCTCACTACAGAGTCCTGTCCGGCCTAGAACTTACTATGTAGACCAGCCTGGCCTCAAACTCATAAGAGATCTGCCCACCTCTACCTCCTGAGTGCTGGGATTAAAGGTGTGCGCCACCATACCTGGCTGACCCTAACCCTTAGTGTGCATCTACATGGTGCTTCCTTGTATTTTATTTTTAAAATTTTATTTTTGTTTTATGTGTATATATTGCCCGCATGTGTGTAAGTGCACCCGTGTCATGCAATGCCCACAGAGGCTGTTGGATCCCCTGGAACTGGAGTTACAGACAGTTGTTAGCTGCCATGTGGGTGCTGGGATTCGAAACCTGGTCTTCTGCAAGAACAGCTGGTGTTCTTAACCGCTGAGCCATCTCTCCAGCCCCTTATATTTTTATTTTTAAACATGTAGTTAGTTAGGTTAATTAGCACACAAGGGGAGGGAGGGGCATGGGTGTGCAGGTCAGAGCTGGTTCTCTCCATCATGTGGGTTCTGGGAATCATCAGGTCATCAGGCTTGGGGGCAGTGCCTTTACCTGCTGAGCCAACTTATCTCCTCTCCTTGTGTTTCGGATGCAAAGCAAGGCCTAAGGGGCCTGGCACACAGCTCTGTGTGAGATCACAGTCGACAGCGGCTGACCTGGCTTGGTGCTCCCACCTTTCCCCTCAGCCTGTAGCACACGCACCTTCTGACATGGTGAGCTCACTTGGTGCTGCTTGCGCCACTCCTGATGCAATAGAGTCGGGCCAAAACCTCTGAACTGGCCTGTTCTGAGCAGTTTTTTTCTTTGTTTTTGGAGTCTCTGAACAACTGGAATCCAACATGGGCTGAAGAATTCGTCTTCGGGCATTGATGAACCTGTGTGTGGACAAAGGTGCTCAGGAGAAAGGACTTGTGAAGACTCCACAGAGGGCAGCACTCCTTAGGAGCCATGCTGAAAGATGAACACATTCTCCACATAACCAACACTCCAGAGAGTGACAGGCATACACACTGTCTAAATCTCCAGAAAAACATGTCCAGCTCTTTATAAAAAACAAGTTAAACAAGGTTTAATTTTTCCACAGCACCTTTTCTTTCTTTTTAAAAATATTTTATTATTTTCATTTTATGTGTATGAGTGTATTGCCTGCATGTATGTGAGTGTACCCGTGTCGTGCAATATCGCAGAGGTCAGAAGAGGACTTCGGATTCCCCTAGAACTGTAGTTAAGGATGGTTTGTAGCCGCCATGTGGGTGCTGGGAATCGAACGCAGGTCTTTTGCAAGAACAGTCAGTGCTCTTAACTGCTGAGCCGTCTCTCCAGGCCGTTTCTCTTTTTTAAAAAAATCTTGCTTGATTTGTTTTGCTCTATGAATTAGACAGTAATGATACGAATCTCTGAATTGGACTCTTCTTGCTAATGAAAAGAAAATGTCAGCACACTGAGCTTTAATGTGCCCAGTTCTCCTCACACCTGAGCTGCCAGACAGCCTAGCCTGCAGTCTTTCTCCACCTGTGCCACCAGCAATGAGCTGCGTCATCAGGGAGACACTGTGGTCCCCCACAGAGCAGAGTCTAGGGAAGAGGTGTGTCCTGGGGCCAGACATCCCCCAGTGCATCTGTCCATGATGGAGTGACCATCAATCAAGTAGGATCCTTTGACAAGACTACATGGAAAAAACAAAATGGAGGCACTCAGGAGGCTGACACAGGAGATCATCGGTCTGGGCTAGCCTGGGATATATAACAAGAAACTTTCTCAACGACCACCAAAAATGAAAAGGCAGGCAGGATCACTATGTCACAGAAATCGTAACAACCTGAAACACTTTTTTTTTTTTGGTCTTTTTGAGACAGGGTCTCCCTGTAGCCCCAGCTGTCCTGGAACTCATTATGGAGACCAAGCTAGCCTTGAACTCACAGAGATACACCTGCCTCTGCCTCCTGAGTGCTGGGATTAAAGGCATGTGCCACCACGCCCGGCTGAACCCTTTAACATTTTGCTAGCACTCTATTTAAATATTCATTATTTCCATTTGATATGAGTATATTGCCTGTGTGTATATGAAGGCACCTGTGTTGTACAATGCCAGGGGAGCTCAGAAGAGGGCGTCAGATTCTCCTGGAACTGGAGTTATAGCACCTATGTGGGTGCTGGGAATTGAACCCGGGTCCTCTGTTAAGAGCAGCCAGTGCTCCTAACCGTTGAGCCACCTCTCTAGCCCCAATACTCTGCTTAAAGGATTGAATAGGTGGTAATCACATGTGAGTTATTTAATACACACTAAAGAACACCCCTGCTCTGTGGTTGGATAAACAGGAGCTGTGCTGCTTGTTCTGGAACTTTAATCAGCTGATGTCGCAGCATGGTTGCAGTGGAGCGACAGTGTGGGTGGCAATGGAGCATTCTTCTCTGCACACTGACTCCATCAAGCTGGCACTGTGTCCACATCTGAACAACACTGATGACGAGAAAAGGGACCACCTGCAGCGGAGCAGCACCTACACATGTGCACTGCGGTGACCTGAGCCAACTCTCACAGTGGCTGAACATGTGCCCAGGGCCCAAGAGTCTCTAAAAATATGACCCAAACCTAGCAGAGGAGGCTTCATTTGTAAGCATGGTCATTCTTCTGGGAAGGCCTCGCTGAGGAATGGCTTATGTGCTGCTGTGTGGCAGAATGGCTGCAGGTACACACAGCAGAAGGACAGAACGCAGAGGGTCCACCAGTCAGGCACCCTGCCCCTGAAGCTGCCCACTGAAACATCTCAGTTCTGAGGAATGAGGACAGGCAGGGATGAGGGCACAGAGAAAGCTTTCTATCACAGCAGGGCTGACCAACACCAGGTGGAAGGTGTGCAGATTCTCTCACATCCTGCCTATGGCTGCAGCCCTCTGACGGCACAGAGCACCACTTAATGGCTCACACACACTTCAACAGTGCCTTCTGACTTCCCAGCACCAGGAGACCGGGTTCTGCCCCACATAAGTGTGGCATCAGCAAGTGGAACATCTTACCAGTTGTTGACTTGGAGCAGTGTCAAGTTTGTCTGAGCAGCAATCTGCTTCTTTTCGTCCTCTGTTGGATAGGGATGCTAAAAATAAAAACGAGAGTTACTGTCACCACGGTTTTGATTTTTAAAAGGGAAGTCAAGATGATCTGGACAAACTCTACTACAAATAAGAGTGAAACTGGGAGCAACAGAGTTTTGAGCAAAACCAAACTTTCATCTCACAAGTCATTGTTTTAGAGTGCTGAGGCAGAATGAGGCCTCTCTCTGCTGCCACAGAACATCTGGCACCATAGCTGCTCAGTGTACAGCAAGGATGCGGTCGCCCAGTGTTTGGTGACACACAGGTAACAGGGGACATCTTCTGTGCCAAGCACCATCGGAGCCTTGGCATAACCACACACCTGTGTCAACTTTGGTGAGGTTGAACTCATGAACAACGGATGGCGCCCATTTCAAGCAGGATGGCATCAGCACATTTCTGGGGCCTCTACACACAGTAGCAACCCCTGCCTCCGTCCAGCCCCAGACACATTTACCAGAATCACAGTGGGACAAACAAATGTGGGGTGCAGGCTGACCAGGGTTTGTCACAGAGCAGTGACATGTTTCTACCACGGCACCATGAGAATAAACTGACACTGGGATGGACTGGTGTCTGCTGACTTAACATGGCGCTACAGTACAGCAAACACTGAAGATCCCACAGAGGCCTGTGTGCTGAAGGCTGGGTCACAAGGCTGGTGCTACTGGAAGGTGCTGAAAACTTAGGAGGGAGGGTCTGGAGAGGGGATCCTTAGATCACTGGGGGTTGTCCCCATGAAGCCAGCCCCTTCTCCTCTTCTGTCTCCTGGCCATGAGCTGTGCTCTGTCATGTGGTGCCACCACTGCCATCAGGCAGTCCTACGTAGGGTGCAACATCATGGTTCCATCAGTCATGAACCCCAAATAAACCATTTCTCCTTGCAAGCTGATTATCTCAAATACCTGTTATGGTGATGGGAAGCTGACTAACCGTTGGCAGTGAAGAGTCAAACCCAGGCTGGGGACAGACGTGTGCTTATTATATTAGCTATCGAGGTGTGAGTGACACATTTCACTAAAAAAACAAACAAATAAAACAGCAACAAAAACAGGGGCCAGAGAGATGGCTCAGGGGTTACCAGCACTTGCTGGGGATCTGGGTTTGATTCCCAGCACCGACACTGGTGGCTCATAGCCATCTGTAGCTCCAGTTCCAGGGGATCTAATGCCCTCTCTGGCCTCTGTGAGCACCAGGCACACACATACATGTAGGCAAAACACTCCTACATAAAATAGAAATATTAAAGCTGGGCATGGGAGTACATGCCTTTAATCCTAGCACTTGGGAGGTGGAGGCAGGTGGATCTGTGAGTTCAAGACCAGCCTGGTCTACATAGCGAGTTCCAAGCCAGCTGGGGCTACCGGGGGACCCTGTCTCAAAAAAGATTTGAAAAAAAAAGCAAATAAATAAAAAATATTAAAAAACAAACAGAATTAAGGGCTAGGGAGATGGCTCCGTGTGTAAAGTGCTTGCTGTGCAAGTATGAAGATCTGAGTTCAGGTTCCCAGCACCACATAAAAGCTGGGGTGGCAAAGTGCATCCATAACTCCAGTGCTAGACAAGGAGGCCAGACAAAGAGTGATAGAGGAAGACACCCTATGTGTGTTACCTGGCTTCCACACATACATGCACACATGGGCAAGTGTACTTGTGCATGCACACCCAAAACCAAAGCAAATTAAACCAAAAATAAGTATCAGATTCCTAGACATACCCAAAGAAAATGAGACCTATCTCCATTAAAAATAAAACAAAAAACTATGTCTTGCTGGGTATGCTGGCGCACGCCCTTAATCCCAGCACTCAGGAGGCAGAGGCAGTTGGCTCTCTCTGAGTTCAAGGCCAGCCTGGTCTACGTAGTGCGTTCCAGGCCAGCTGTGGCTAACAGGTAGACCCTGCCACAAAAAACAAAAAACTATGTCATGGGGCTGGAGAAATGGTTCAGTGGTTAAGAGCACTGGCTGATCATGCAGAGGCCCCAGGTCTGGTTCCTAGCACCCACCTGGTGGCTAACAACTGTCTATAACTCCAGTTCCTGGGGATCCGACACCCTCTTCTGTCTTCCTTGGGCATTCCATGACATGGGTGCACTTATATACATGCAGGCATATAACACTTGTACACATAAAATATATATGACAAAATATATAATATATATAATTTCATATATATATATTTGTTGTTGTTGTTGTTTTTGACAGTGTCTCCCTGTAGCCTCAGCTGGCCTAGAACTCACTATGTAAACCAGGTTGGCCTTGATCTCACAGACATGGGCCTGCCTCTGCCTCCCAAGTGCTGGGATTAAAGGCATGTGCCACCATGCTCAGCTCACATACAATAAAAATAAATTAAAAAAATGTTTTTTAAGAAGACACACTTTCTCCAGAACTGGTGGCTGCTGGTGTGGAGACCCAGCCCAGAAGCACACGCTTGCGGAAATCCCTTAGTCTGGCCCACTTTGTCCCACTGTGAGAGGTAGTTGTAAGCAAGCAGGCATTGGTCTTGGTTTTGATTTTAAACAAAACATTCCATCTGACTTGGAAAATTAACAGCATATGACAGTGGGAATGTGGGGCACCAGCCTGATCAGCAGGTAGATTTTCTACAAACCAATCAACAGGGTGAGTGTGTGGCTCTGAGTTTGAGGTTGTGGAGACATGACTATTGTTCTTGCCCTAGATAAAGCCTGTAACATAGAAGTGGGTCCAGTCATGCTCGCTTACACCACCAGCACTTGGGATGTGGAGGCAGGAGGGTTAGCAAGTTTGAGGACAACCTGGATTACACAGTAAATTCCAGGTCAACCTGGTTATATAGTGCAACTTCTTTTTTTAAAAAAACAAGGGCTGGACTTGTAAAGCTCAAGGAAAAAGCACTTGCCCAACATACATAAAACATGCAAAAACAAACAAAAACAATAAATAATGGGGCTGGTGTAGGACATGGTGGTACATGAGGCAGAGGCTGGTAGATCTCTGAGATGGAGGCCAGCCTAGTTTACATAGAAAGTTCCAGGCCAGCCAGGGCTACGGGGAGACCTGTCTCGAAAACCTTTCCCCCAACTCCAAAATGGAAACATGAAGAACACACAGAAAAACCAAAGAGCGATCAATGCAGCCCTCGTGTGTTTAGAAATCTAGGTGTCGCAAAGAAATGAAGGTAAGAAGGAACAGAAAAACAGGCAGGAGAGAAACGCACATAGCCAGGGCTCATTGTTGAGAAATTATGAAATCATTAACAAACATGTCAGAGGAGGGAAAGCAAAACAGATAAAACACTGAACACTTAAAAGGAGAGAAATGCAGCTAATCCCAGCACCCCCTCGGTGACCTGTGACCACCACACCACCTCATCCCAGCACCTCCGTGTGAACTGTGACCACCCACCACCTCATCCCAGTACCTCCATGTGACCTGTGACCACCACACCACCTCATCCCAGCACCTCCGTGTGAACTGTGACCACCCACCACCTCATCCCAGTACCTCCATGTGACCTGTGACCACCACACCACCTCATCCCAGCACCTCCGTGTGAACTGTGACCACCCACCACCTCATCCCAGTACCTCCATGTGACCTGTGACCACCACACCACCTCATCCCAGCACCTCCGTGTGAACTGTGACCACTGCATCATGCCTGTGCACAGGCTGAAGCAGCACAGCAGCTGCTGTCTGTCTTGCGGCCTCTGCCTGGCACGCTCTGTGCTCACAGCCCCCACTGTCATGCTCACCTGCGTGCTCGCTTCCTGCCTGGGCCAGACTCATTTTGAGCTAAACGAGCCAGGCACTCTGCTCGGGTGCCAGCTCCATGCTGCTGCCCTAACCTCGCTGCATTGCTCTTTCAACCCAATACAAAAACCACTGCTTTCTCAAGGCTGGTTCAGGTACATCTTTTTTCCCTGCCTGTTCCTCTCGACAAGCTCATGGGTAGGGTTTTTTCTAATACAAATACACAAAATTCACAGTATCCGAGTTGACTCCTTCCACTGGTAGAACACTTGCTCTATGTGAAGCTTCCTGAAGAAATCCTTAGGGACCCAAGTTCAACCCCCATTATATAAACATGATACTGACACTTAAGACATCAGACAAAGTCAGTTTCCCATGGCACATGAGCCAGACAGAGGGCAACAGAGGGTCAATCCTGGTGCAACCAACGAAGCCTTACCCCTATGTGCTGAAAGAGCCAGGACCGCATCACGTTGGTGGCATGCTTCGGCAGGACACCTCTCTTGTTCTTGGAGGAGCCATCATCTTGCTGTAAGATGCCGAGATCTTGGTTCAACTGTAACTGAAGCTTTTATAGAATTTAATGTTAGGCTTCGAAGTGATAACAAGTCAAGCAGCTTACAATGTCAGATGGAGAAAGCAACCAAGGCTCTCTCAGGTTCATATATGGAACACAGCAGTACATGCTGCAACACTGTACAGACTAATCTTTTGAGGACACACGTGACATTGTCAAATGTATCCTCGGTCTTCATCCCTATTTTACGGCAAGCAATCCCTAAAATTCTTGGATTCTTCAGAGTGGTAAGTGGTGTCACTCTGTGTGCGGAGCTGGCTGCTGGTAGGGGCTGTGACAGGAAAGACCAAGGCAGGATCACAGAAGTCCTAACCTCTGGATGGGTCAAGAGGATAAGGATAAGTGATCCTGCTTCTGTCACGAAGCCTCTAGTTCCTGGCACACCCAGACAAGGGCTGGGAGCTCTACACACCCACCCTGACGCCATCCCCATCGCCATCTGCATGCTCTGCAACGGTCTTTGTGGTAAACTGACAAATGTCTCCCTGAGTTCTAACTGAGTGTAGCCATTCTAACAAACTGAACCCAAGGAGGCTGCTGTGGGAACTCTAATTCGTAAAAGTCATCAGAAGCATAGGTCACAGGTCTGGAACTCAAGGCTGGGCCTCGGGCTGGAGAAATGGCTCAGTGGTTAAGAACACTGCATGTTCTTGCAAAAGACCCAGGTTCAAATCCCAGAGCCCACATGGCAGCTAACAACTGTCCGTAATTCCAGTTCCAGGGGATCCGATGCCCTCTTCTGACTTCCCTGGTCATTGCATGACACGGGTACACTTGAACACACATGCAGGCAATACACACATACACATAAAATTAAAATAATAAATAAAATCTTAAAAAAAAAAGCACTCTGGAGGCAGAGGCAGGAAGATCTCTGTGAGTTCAAGGCCAGGCTGGTCTACGTAGTGAGTTCTAGGCCATAAAAGAATTCAGATTTTAAAAAAAAAAAAAAAAAAAAAAAAAAAAAAAAAGACTGGGCCTCAGCTCTGACGCTCTCCAGGTAGACAGTGTCAGGCCTGACCATGTAAGAAGACACAGGCTGTCTTCCACTACTTGACTGCTGATAGAGAGAAACCCTGCAGTGTTGGGGACACAGAAGTTTCCTGTTTTGACTATAGTATGAGAACAGAAGAAAAAGTTTGTTTTCCCTACAGAGCCTGGCTCTCCCCACATCATCACACACTAGGAACTTAGTTCTGCAGAGGCCTGGGTCTGGTGAGACAGACAGAATGGATGCGAGAGGGCCCCTTGTGCCCAGAGTCAGGCACTGTGCAAACAAATAAAGCCTATGGTCCTCACTCACCACCAGTCCTCTCCTGTGCTTCCTGAAGTGTGAAAGTGATGTACCATGTTTCCCAGCCCCAAAGAAATTTTGGGGGCAGCAATCAGCAACAGAGTGCCACTGGAGAAACATGCAGGTGAGCAGAGGGAAGTGGACCAGGGCAGGAAGTGATGAAGGGATCAAAAGAACGGGCCCACAACTGGAGGACGGCCCTGAAGCAGCCAGACCCAGGAGGACATGCAGCACCAATGTGTCATCTGACAGTGTGGACTCAGACCAAGGGGCCTCTGAGTCACACGTGGCCATTAATGTAATGAAAACCACGCACACACAAAAATGAAACACCACTGTGAGGCAGAGCATCACTGTGACTGAGGCTGATTCACAGGAGCTGGTGCTCGGGTGTCAGCAGCGAATGCTGACCTGCCCGGTGCAATGAGAAAACAGGGCAGAGGCACCGAGAGTGGAGCCCCTGCCTGTGAAAGGCAAGCGAGGTAGGTCAAAGAGAGTTAAGAGGCAAGTGTTTCCTTAGAAACACAGGAAAACAGCAGAAGAAATAGCTGAAAGACTTAAGGGGACCTGTGGGGAGTGAAAGGATGGAGAATGGCTAGGATCTGCTCCCTCCCTGTGGGGTCCTGTCAGGGCTGAGCTGTGACACACCCCAATCTGACATAAGCATTCAACACACTAGCAGGAGGGAGAGGGAGGCAAAACCTAGTGCAGGAATCACAGTGGAATAAGCAAGACTGTCGGGCAGACGGGGATGTAGCCCAGTCAGCAGAGTGCTTGCCTAGCATGCACGAAGTCCTGGGTTCCAGCCCCAGGGCCATGTAAACCAGGAGTGGTGACATATACTTTCAAACCCAGAACTCCAGATAGAGAGGTAAAAAACAAACAAAAAACCCAGAAGTTCAAGGTCACCTTGGTTATATAGAGAGTTCAAGACCAATAAATTCTATTTAAAAACGCTATTAAAGAAAAAAACAAACCACCAGGCAACACGAGGGGGTAGGGAGGAACCCGAGGGGGTAGGGAGGGAGAGGAACTCAGGGGGGAGGGAGGAGAGGAACCCAGGGGGAGAGAGGAGAGGAACCCGAGGGGGAGGGAGGAGAGGAACCCAGGGGGAGGGAGGAGAGGAACCCAGGGGGAGGGAGGAGAGGAACCCAGGGGGAGGGAGGAGAGGAACCCAGGGGGAGGGAGGAGAGGAACCTAGCTATTCTTCACTCTCAAAACCTTTTTCAAGTGGGTTTGTGCTAGCAGAATAATTAAGGACTTCACAGTGGCCATCCCCCAGGAAGGCAGCGTCAACTCCAGCCGACTACTGACCTCATAACTAAGCCACATGTGACCAGGTCAGGGTGTCCTGCTCAGGGCTGACACCCTCCTGGGGAGCAACAATGTATCGATGTCATCTGATCTGGGTCAAGGACATCAACCTTCCTGAGCCTGCCACATGCCTCCACCCCCTAGCAGGGGACCTGTGTGACACTGGAAAACAATGTGAGGACAAGGGTCACGGGGGTATTTGGGCTGTGTACAACTGCAGTGATTCTCCCGGGATACATGGGGGTTTTTGGGTGGACTACTGGGGTGACCCATGATCCCTATTAGACAAGTGCCAATATTTCTGACACTACTAACCCTGATGGTTTTAACATAAAACAGAACCCTTCCTTGGTAAGCACTCATTTCAACTAATTAAAACACAGCAAGAACTCAAACTCTGGCCAAAAAAAAAAAGCACAGAGCATTCTGGATAGCTAGACTACAATCGCACACTAAAGGTACACGTGCTGTTAAAAGAACCCCTCCCTTAAGGACCCTCAGTCAGACACATTTACCTGTCACAATATAAAGCCTAATGGCTTGTCTCACTTCCCAGCCCTGATAAATGTTCCCGTAAAGAGATGTGACACAGAAGAAGGGACACTGTTGCCTACGGGGACTCAGCTGAGGGAGCTGGTGGGAGGGGTCACCATGCAAGCATCAGTAAGAAAGCTCCGGAAGCTCCCACACTTCCGGCTCACTATTTTAGATGAGCAACCTTTGTTTCTAAGAAAACCCAGGTAAGTAGAAGACCTTCTTACTCATTTGGGAGGCTGAGGCTTCAGGAAGAGCACGGCAAGTTCTAGACCAGCCTGGGCTACAGAGTGAAACTGTCTCAAACAAAACTCCAGACAAGACAAACAAAAAGTCTTTCTTCTTAAACAAGACAAATGAACATCTACTATATTAGTGAGCTATTTGACTTACTAGAGTTCCCTCTAAAAGAACATCATTTGGTATTAGAAAACTAGTCAGTAACTGGACATGGCTCTACTGTTACAGACATTTAAAATGGAAAACCATGGGGGAAGAAGGCTGGTGGGGAGCCCAGGAACAGCATGAGTAGGATCTAGCTCTTTCCCTATTGAGGTCTGAGCCCAGGCAGTCACAAGGCCTATATGGTCTCTAAAGACCCATGTGTATCAGGGCCGCCTGAACCCTTTTCTCTAGTGTTCTCTCACCAAAGCTTTGTGGCCCAAGATGGCAGCCCCAGAATGCCTGTACCACTTGAGAGCCACCCCAGGCCATTTGGGTTTGCTTTTTATGCCTAGGGCTGGGCATGCAGAGTTCTTGATAAGGATACAGATACATCATGCAGGTCACAGCCAGAGACTCCACAAAGTGGACAGGTACTCACAAAATTAGAACTATGCTTTAAATCTTGTCTTTAATTGCTCAGAGTAGAAACTGTATGCCTCCAGAACTCAGTGGCTCTTCCAGCCCAGCAGGCCCAATATCCTCACTTTACTACAAAGGAGCAGGAACAGTACAGACTGGACCAAGGCCACAGTATGCACAGGGCGCCTCTTGTGCTGGGAGCCACCGAGTGCTGCTGCAGAAACCCTTCGGCCTCTCATCAGTGTCTGCTTCTACGCAGCACCCGTCACAGCAGAGGCCAGGAAGCTTCCAGAGCTTGGACAGCAAGCCAGCAGCATCACACTTGGGATGCAGTCGTAGCTCTGAAAGCTTTCCCCGGCTATTCTGCACCTACAAGACTTTAAGTCTTGGATGCCCACACACAGTAGACGCCCACAAAAGCCAGTCTTTATGCTGGCTGTGCCCGTTGAGGGGGTGGATACCTTTCTTGCTGCCTCAGAGCATTCTAAATTTTGCAGGTTTTTTACAGTGAGGGAGATGAAGAACGAACAGAAACAAAATGACTAGAAGGTGTATGACAGCAAATGACATTTACAAAGAGGGGACACCCCAGCCTGCTCTACCACACACCCCTCCCCAACAGGCAGCATGAGTCCTGAGTCCTTCCAGAAGACACACACACCTGGGAGTTCTGGATCCTTATTGTCCCAGGAGACAAGGCCTGCGTGACCACTTGGCCTTGGGGAGTGACAACTGTGACAGGCTGGTACACTGTGCCGCCTCAAAAGAGAAAAGAAGAAAATTAAAACAAAGTGCTTTAAGTATTAATGATTTAAAAACCATTCTTCTTGATTTTCTAATATCAAGATATATTTATGGAAGGAATAAAAACTTGCTTGATGAACCTTTTAATCATTTTAAATGGTCAATGATACTCTGCAAACTATCTGGTCTTACAAATTACCAAACCAATTCTGGGCCCCTTGGCACCTGAACGTCTTCTGGGACCTTGGTGACATCCTGTTTTTCCTCTGCTTTCTTTTTCCTACACTTAGAACCTATTTCGTCGAAGGCACTGGTTAAGAAACACTTTTATTTATTTATTCTTATATTCTATTTATTATTTTTATTTTATGTGTATGAGTATACTGCCTGCATGTATGTGAGTGCACCCGTGTTATGCAGTGCCGAGAAAGTCAGAAGAGGGCTTCGGATTCCCCTGGAACTGGAGTTAAGGATGGTTCGTAGCTGCCATGTGGGTGCTGAGAATCAAACCCGGGTCCTCTGCAAGAGCAGTCAGTGCTCTTAACCACTGAGCCATCTCTATAGCACCAGCCCCAAAACACTTTTATTTTTTAAAATATTTTATTTATTAGCCGGGCGTGGTGGCGCACTCCTTTAATTCCGGCACTCCAAAGGCAGAGGCAGGTGGATCTCTGTGAGTTCAAGGCCACCCTGGTCTACACAGTGAGTTCCAGGACAGCTGGGGCTACAGGGAAACCCTGTCTCAAAATGATCAAAACAAAACAAAACCAAAAAATGTTTTATTATTTAGCTGGGCGTGGTGGTGCACGCCTGTAGTCCCAGCACTTGGGAGGCAGAGGCAGGACAGCCTGGTCTACATAGCGAGTTCCAGGCCGGCTGGGGCTTCAGGGAAACCCTGTTGCAAAAAGACCAAAGAAATTTTATTTGTTATCTTTATTTTATGTGTATGAGTGTGCTGCCTGCATGTATGTAAGTGCACCTATGTTGTGCAGTGTCCTTGGAGGTCAGAGGAGGGTGTCAGAGTCCTTGGAACTAGAGTTACAGATGGTTGTTAGCCACCATGTACCAACTCAACCCAGGTCCTCTGCAAGAGCAGACTACGCTCTTAACACTGAGCCAGGCCTGCAGCCTGGCAGCCTTTGTTTTCTCTCTCCTATGGGGCACTCAGTGTCCATCTCCGCCCTTCCTACTTTCCTTACTCCAATCTCATTTTACATTTGCACTGTTCTAGACACAGCAGAGAATGCTGGGATACATTTCCTTCCTGTGACGGTTTTGCTAAGATTAAGGCTGTACTTCTTGACTGCCACCAAATTTATTATATAACTAGGTTTCCAGGTCCTGCTAAAAGTACAGTTAAAAACTGTTATTTGAAGAGTCAGAAAGACGGCTCAGTGAGTAAAGACGCTTGCTTCCAAGCCTGATGACTTGAGTTTGATCACCAGAATCCACATGGTAGGAGAGAATCAATTCCTGCAAAGTATCTTCTGACTGACACGCTTGCACACGCGTGCATACTCACACACACACACTTTTAAAAGCTCTATTCTTTGAAACCATAATTAGTTTTAGCTGTATATTTTCAGTTCTTACATAAAACCTTTTTTCCAAAATGCTTTTAGTAGAAAATCACAATCTGCACACAGTATTTGTTGGAAATTAACAGGAAGCACTCAAACAGCTCCAGACTGGAACTGGCATTGAGCAAAGAACAGCGAACTCAAGAAAAGAAGCTGAAATTAAAAGATGTACTTATACGCCTGTTCTACATAAATGGATCTGTTTTCTGCAAAAGCTTGTAGAGACCGTCCATTTTCCCATGGTCCTACCTGCCACTGTTGCCATGGTTACGTTTCCCTGTTGCAGGGCAGATGCTGGCACCACGATTCCCTGGGGGCTGAGAGTGCCTGTGATGGCGCTTTGAATCTGCTGAATGTCAGAATACACACATTGTGGGAATTATCAGAACACAGAAAACTCATTTCAAAACTTCAAAGGAAGTGGTGTCACAACACCGCAATGAACGAAAGGGACACCGGGGACACAGGGCAGACTCAGGTGACAGGCTTTCAGGAACCTGAGAGGCACAGAACAGTAAACTTGACTGAGAGACAACACTGACAGGGGCATGTGCAATATGACTTTCCTCTCGCTGTCTAAGCCTAGGGCGTGAGCAGGGAAGACCCTGCTATCTGATCACAACTTCTCCTTAGACCTGACTTAGACCACTGAGTGCTCCATGAAGCAAGGTCCTCCAGGACAAAACTGGCACTTGCAAAGTCAACACCACAGGCTTGGAGGCGTTGGAAGTGAGCAGGGACAAGGGTATTCCAAGTGGGGCTGGAGACGTTCTTGTTTGTAGAGTGCCTGGGACTGGGCCTAGCTTGCAGCAAGATCATGAAAACATCTGTGAACAGCAGGTTTGGAAATTACCCTCCGGAGTTCCCTCCAGGTGGGCTGCTTTATCCAGTCACTGTGTCAACAAGGCTGTAGGCTGGTTGGGTAAATAAAGGGGCACCTGACATGAGGCCTGGCACACAGCACACCTGAATGTCTGAGCAATCACTGAGCATCAAGGGCCATCACCCACAGGTAGCAGCTGGTGGGACTGCCACAGATCTGAACATGTAAACTTGGGTCCACTGCATTAATTTGGTGACAGCAGAAGTTAAGCCACCCAAATCAAGTATCCAATCTCCTACTTTAAGAGCCCACAAAAAGAATTTCTTTAAGAAGCCCAAAGCAGGACTGGATATACGGTTCCTTGGCTAAGAACACTGGCTACTCTTGCAGAGGATTCGGGTTCGATTCCCAGCACCCATGTGGCAGCTAACAACAGTCCGTAACTTCAGTTCTAGGGGATCCAACATCTTTTTCCAACCTCTGCAGTCATTGCACAGCATGGGTGAACTTACACACATGCAGGCAATATAGTCATACACATAAAATAATAGATAAAATACTAAAAAGAAAGAAAATAAAAAGCTCAAAGAGAAGGGAGGAAATAATAAAGATCAAAGAAGAAATGAAATGCAAATAGAATGACAGAAAAGCCAATCAAACAAAATGCTTGCTGGTGAGAAGATCAAAACAAACATCCGTAGGAAAGAAGAGAGGATGGGAGGCTGAGCGGGAGGAGGGAGAGGGAAGAGGGAGAGGAGAAGGAGGGAGCTGAGGAATCCAGGCTTGGGATGAAAAGGGCGATCCCCCATCTGCAGGAGTGGGAGGCCTGGAGGTGGGGACAGCTCTGCACTCCTAGGGTTGACATCTCGGGTGGAAGGAGTACAGCCAGAGCACAGCCACCTCAGCTCACCAGTGTGGGAGGCAGAGTCTGAGTGGCCCTGCACCTGAAGGACAGTGAAGATGGCTCAGCGGTTAAGAACACTGGTTGTTCTTTCGGAAGACCCAGGTTCGAATCCCAGCACCCACATGGCAGCTAACAACTGTCCTAACTTCAGTTCCAGGGGATCCAACAGCCTCTTCTGTCCTCCGTGGGCATTGCATGACATGGGTGCACTTACCTACACGCAGGCAAGATACGCATACACATATAATAAAAATAATAAACAAAATATTTTTTAAAAAAAGAAAAAAAAAAAAACTCCTAAAGGAAATTGCTACCGCCCGGCAGCTTCATGGGCCAATTCTCGCTCTCAAACATTTCTGAAGACTCGGCCCCTGCTCTGCAGTCTCTTCAGAAAACAGGAGAGGGCGCACTCCCCAGTGCCTTGGCAAAGTCTGGACACAGTACAAATCCCACACTAGTATCTCTTGTGACACAAAAATGTCTGCCAAAATATTGGCAGACATGATTCAGAAACACATATAAGGAGAATTATGTGCCATGACCAAGTGAACTTTATCTACAAATGGAAAGCTTGCTCAGTATTCAAAAAATCAATTCATGTAAAACCTCCACCCCAGCATGATTAAGGTGGGAAGCAAAGAGGTTGCCCTTGGCAACCTGGGAGCAAGAGGGAGCCTGCCCCTCACATTTTAAAGCTCCTGATATTTCAGCCACTGTGAGGAGGCAAGAAAAGGCACAGAGATCAGAAAGGAAGCCAGCGGAACTGTCCCTGTCTGTACATGACATGGTGAATAAGTACAGATTCCAAGAAACCTACCAAAAAAAAAAAAAAAAAAAAAATCCTACCTAGAATGAATAAGTGAGTTCATAAAGGCTATATGCTGAGGACAGAAGAAAATCAGCTGTTAGGAGGGGCTATTAGAGACAGGGGAGGATGAGAAGAGAAACAGGTTGAAATGGCCAAGTGTATTACTATATGCATGTACAGAAACACCAACATGAAACCCTTTACTTTATACAATTAATATATGCTAATAAGCACACGGATCTGCCTATGCTTCATGTTGTATTTCCTTATGAATGCTCCTCTGGCTCATTCAAAACCAACTGCTTTTCTATAGACTAGCACTGGGCCCCCAAACTAAGAGATAACCCATTTACAGTCACTCAAACAGAAAAAGACTTATGTGTAACTCTAAAAACACATGGATTTCTATGTTGAAGACTACAAAACACTGATTTAAAAAATCCTAGAAGACATAAATAAATGTAGAGACACGGCTGTTCACGGACTGGAAGAGTCAGAATAGAGATGCAGCAATTCCCCTAACGCAGAGGTCAACACACGTCCGCAGAAATCTCTGCGTTTTTTCAGATCTGCAGAGCATCACTGAAGATTTATGTGGACAGGCAAACGAGGTAGAGAAGAGCTAAAGCAGTTCTGAGCAGTGAGGGGAGAGGAAGCCGCCACTCCAATTCTGAGACTTACCACACAGCTGTAGCCACCAAGGCTCTGTGGTACACACAGATATGTAACAGAACAGAGAGAGGCCCTAGAACATGTCCAACTGACTTTTGACAAAAGGGCAGATGAAATTTGATGGCAGGAGAGCTCTTAATAAAAGATGAAGCAGGTAGTCATCCACAGACAAGAAAGGAAACTCAAATCTCATACTTTCTGCAAAAGCTAACTTAAAGGTGGCACATGCCTTTAATCCCAGCACTTGGGAGGCAGAGGCAGGCAGATCTCTGTGAGTTCAGGGCCAGCCTGCTCTACGCAGTGAGATCCAGGCCAGCTGGGGCTACAGGGAAACTCTGTCTCAAAAAGACTCCCCCCCAAAAAAGAAAAAAAAGTTAACTCAAAAGGATAATAGATTCCAGTGTAAAACTGACTCTATAAAACTTTTAGGAAAAAGGACAAATTCTTTGGAATTAAGGGCAAAGAGTTCTTAAAGGACAGCACAGTTCATAAAAGAGTTGAGTCAGATTTGAAAATTTTAAACGTTTACTCTATTAATAAAGGACTAGTATCTACAATATTATAACTCAAAGCTCAGAAAAGAAAAATCAAGTCAGAAAACAGGTAAAGACATAAGCAGACTTTTCAGGCAAAGACAGTACACAGCTGGGATATGCACAGGAACATATCAACATGATTTGTCACCAGGGAAACACAAATAAAACGCATGATGAAATACCACCACACACCATCAGCATGGCTACAACCCAATGGTACTACAGAGTAACTGTCAGGGCATTATGGGAAGTGAAGCAAGCCAGATATGGCACGATTCCACTTCTCTGAGGAGCCCACAGACATGAAGACAGATGAGGCCAAGGCTGGGGAGAAGGACGGGAGTTAGTACTTATTGGGGACAGAGCTTTCATTTGGGAAGATGGAAATGTCCTGGAGATGGATGGTGGTGATGGCTGCACAGCAGTGTGAATGTGTTTAACAGCACTGAACCACACTCTTTAAAATGGCCATGATGGAAAAAAGACTGAAGATGGCAAATTCTATGCCATCAAGGTAGCCCTGTGGTTCTGCAAGGGTTACAGTCTCAGGGGTCAACACTAACACCGCAGTGCCCGAGAAGCACAGAGGCCCCAAAGCCAAGTACCTGGGACTGCACAGGGGAATACGGGCTTCCAGGCTCCCCACTCAGCAGGGTCTCACTGTTCATTTTTGTCTTCAGACAAGCAATGTACCGACTGCAGAAATCTTTACAGAGTTCATTAACCTTTTCCAGTTCAAGAAGATGAATACGCAGGACCTGGATTGCTTTCACCATCTAGAGGCAAAGAGGTAAAGACCTTTAGATGAGAAATGATGCCACCCCGAGTCGTCATCACACACACTGTTGTCTGTGCCAGCAAGAGCTGAACTAAAATGAGAGACTGTAAGAACAGGCAGAGTGTTCAGAGCTCCAGTGCCACTGACCCAGACTCCAGGCTCCAGACATGGAGAAACAGGGTGCCTCCTTCAGCATGGCCATGCTGGGCCTGGGGCTCCACACTGCAGATGACTGGGCTGCAGCCAACTGCTGGCCTGCTGGTCACTCACTCACTCTGTGGCTCAGCAGGTTTCCTACTCTCACTCCACCAAATCTCTACATCCAGGTGGGTGTGGTGGTGCACACCTTTAATCCCAGTACTCGGGAGGCAGAGGGAGGCGGATCTCTGTGAGTTCAAGGCCAGCCTGGTCTACATAGTGAGTTCCAGGTCAGCTAGGGCTACAGGGAGACCCTGTCTCAAAAAGACCAAAAACAACCTCTGCATCCGTGGATAAGGTAGATTCATACCTCTCTTACTGCTGCTGCTTCTTTTTAATTTTTTTATTTATTAATTTTATGTGTATGAATGTATTATCTGCATGTATGTAAGTGCACCTATGTTATGCAATGCCCTCAGAGGTCAGAAGAAGGTGTCAGATTCCCCCAGAACTGGAGTTACAGATGGTTGTTAGCTGCTGTGTGGGTGTTGGGAATCAAACCCAGGTCCTCTGCCAGAGTAGCCGGTGCCCTTAACCACTGAGCCATCTCTTCAGCCCCTGACTGCTGCTTCTTAGTGAGGTTCAACCTCCAATCCTGCCTTTCCTGAATTCTGGTGTCAAATCAAAGGATTCTTTGCTTAGCTCTAGATTCCAAAGTTTTTCTCATGTGGCTTTTCTCTAAGTTTCATAGTTTGGAGCTGCGGCAATGAATCAGTGAGTAAGAGCGTGTACTGCTCTATAGAGGACCAGAGTTCTTTCCCAGCACCCACATCAGGTGGCTCACAACTGCCTGTAACTCCAGCTCCAAGGGATCCCACACCCTCCTCTTACCTCTTTGGGCACTGTACTCATTGTGCAAAGATCCCCATACATAACTAAAATTAAAATAAATTTTAAAATAACAGTTTTATAGTTTTATATTATGTCCGTAAGTGTTGAGGTAATTTGAGCCTAGTAGTGGTCACTAACACCAACAGTAACACATCACTGGCTGTGAATGGGCAGCTGCAAGGGGGTAGAGAACACCTGTCCCCTCAACTGAAACTGAACCAGGTCAAGTGTGGGCCGGGGCAGAGAGAGCTTCTGATCCTCACTCAAAAGGGGAGTCATTTCAGAGATGAGGAGGTAGGCTTGGTCAGACAACCCACCTATGAAATGTTCTAGATGGCCAAGACTGAAAACAACAGCACTACGACCAAGGTAATCAGTTCAGGGAGAATGAAGCCTTCTAAAGACCTGTGGAGGGCTTGATTAAAGTTTGATGTGAGTTCTAAAGGGGGCTCTTAAAAACCCAGCGAAGGAACCTTGCTGTGGGGTTCCTGTGTTCTCAATCTAGGGGAGAGGCTCAGGCGGACTTTTTACTTCCTTCACAGAGTAAAAAAACCTGCATTTCAGAGCCTTGGGCCCAGGAGAAAGGCATTCCATGCCGGCATCGGTGCTGGGACTGATGTTTTGGAGATGTTTCAAGCCCTGTTTCTAAGATGAAATCACTTAGAACAGAGGTGGGGCACAGACACCCCACAGGAGCACCAGGCCCCAGGAAACGTTTACAGACGTTCATGAGAGAGCTGAACCCCTCATGCCAATTAGAACAAAACAAATGAGTTTATTTGCTTGCTGAGGAAAAAGGGACTAGAAACTAGACTTGAAAGCCAAACTTCAGTGAATAAGGCTTTTAAGTTGCAAAAACCAGAAACAAAACATTGGCTTGACTTACTAAGTTGTCAGTTTCTGGATCTTCACAAAAGAAGGGCTTCCCTTCCTTCTCCTGCTTCCGAACAAAGTTCTCGATGTCCACGTCAAAACTGGCCGACGTAGTCCCTTCGGAGCCCTGTGTGGACTGCTCACACTTTTCAAATAACAAAGCTAGCAAAGGAAACAGTGGATGCCTAGGGGAGAAAAAAAACGAAGGCATGTGCTCCATCTCTCCAGGAGCGCTTCGGAGTATGTGCATGAATGACCCCCTTAGACAGGGTTCCATTGTGTGCCCAGGCTGGCTTCTAACTGGGACTTTTCTGCCTCACCTGCCCACGTGACGTCACGCAACTCACCATTTAAAGTACACAAATCAACAGCTTTCAGTTTACTCTAGAGTTGTACATCCAGCAACACAATGTTAGAACACTGTCATTATTCCTCAAGGGAACACTGGCAGTCACTTTCTACCCACACCCAACCCCATCACAGATGTGTTTCCTGTTTCTATGCCTATTCTAGATACTTCATGTAAGTGAAATCTTACATGGCCTTTGGTGTCTGGCTTCTGACAGAATGATTGTTAAGACTTACACATACTATAGCCTGTGTCAGCCCTTCATTTCTCTATGGTTGAACAATACAGCATTATAAGGACACATCAAATATCCTTTTCCATCCATCAGCTGATTGATGGACATCTGGGCTCTTCTGACTACCATGGCTAATGCTATGAACATTTACGTACACGTATCTGGAGAAACACACACTCTCACTTTTTCTTTTTCTTTTTTTTTTTTGGTCTTTTTGAGACAGGGTCTCCCTGTAACCCCAGCTGGCCTGAAACTCTCTATGTAGACCAGGCTGGCCTCAAACTCACAGAGATCTGCCTGCCTCTGCCTCTCAAGTGCTGGGATTAAAGGCATGTGCTGGCCTCGGACTCCAGACCCTCCTGCCATTTCAGCTTATCTTATCGGTATGCACCACCTCTCCCAGCTCGCTTTTCCTGAGTCCATGTACAATAGTGGAAATTCTGGGCTGACTGTAACTGTCTAACTGTGAGAAACTGCTACTCCTAATTGGGCACAAACAATGACCAGGGCCTGAAACGCTCTTTTTCTGAGAACCTTCATTACTGTGTGTACGCAGTGTTAGGGGATGAGTGGGTCATGCTGCTGTGCTTGTGTGGACCTCAGAGGACAACTCTGCAGAGCTGGTTCTCTCTTTCCACCTTTCTCTGAGTTCCAGTGATTTAACTCGGGTCACCATGCTTTGCACAGCAAGAGCACTACCTGCGGGACCATCTCAATGGCCCCTTTACCTTTTCTGAGGTAGAGTCTTACTGTATAGCCCAGAATGGCCTGGAATTGGCCTCAGTTTCCCATCCTCCTGCTTCTCCTCCAGTGTGGAGACTAAAAGTGTGTATAATTTTATAATGCCTGACCTGAAGACTTTTTTTCTGAAAGATTTTTTTCTTCTGAAAGGTTACCCAAATGGGTTTAAAACTTTTCTTTTAGTTATTAGAAGGAATATATAAATCTGAAAACATTTCCCTAATGGTTACAGTATCAAGGGGTACTGCAACCTTGCCTAACTCCTAGGCCCATGTTCCACGTAACAGGTTTGCACTTCCCCTGTTCCTCTGAAAACCACATATTCTACCCCCAGGCATTACCTATAAATGGCCTGCTTGTCAGCATCCATTGGCGTCTGAGACTCCACAGGAGGAGGACTCACTCCTTCACCATCTGGTTCAGAGCAGTTTGGATCTTGCTCTGTTTTTAACTCTGTGACCACCTGCATCTGTAAAAGGAGAATTTTTGTTACAAAACACAAAGTAAAGTGTACTTAACCTTCAAACTGAATGAAAAATTGCTAGACAGTCACACAGCTGCCAATGAAACTTAAATAACACTCCAGCAAAGTCCTTGACTTTAATATACTCTGAAAGCAGAGAGCATTAGGCCAAATTTTCGGCCTTTCTGAGAACAGAGGCGACCAGCATCTAAAATGCTCACAACTTCAAAGCTGCCACTACAACCACTGACAGGATCACACACTGTACTCTTGCTCCTCCCAGTCAGGAACACGGTAGAGGGTGGCGGACAGTGCAAGCCCACCTGGTAGTCTCACACAGGCTACTCAAGTGCAGCATGCTACAGCCCTGAGGCAGGGTTCAAGCTCTCCCATACCCACCCTGTGCTTCAGAAGCACAGAGCTACTGGCTAGGAGACTCCTGTTCAAAGTCTGAGTTTTGACCCCCAGCATGCACATGCACATACAGTATTTGGGGTAAGAGCTGCATTATTTTTAATTATGTGTTGTCTGTGTGCCTGTGTGGGGTACATGCGCATGATACAGGCACCTGCAGAAGCCAGAAGAGGGCGTCAGGGTCTCTGGAGCTGGAGTTACAGGCAGTTGTAAATTGCACAAAGTGGGTGCTGGGAACCAAACTCAGGTCCTCTCTAAGAGCAGTGCTCACTCTTAACCACTGATCCATCTCTCTAGCTCCAAACACAATTTTTAACAAGGGTCACTTTATTCAGAAAGTTAAGAACAAACTAAGAGTAGTGGCGCACACCTTTAATTCCAGCATTTGGGAGGCAGAGGCAAGCAGACCTCTAGGAGATTGAGGCCAGCCTGGTCTACACATGGAGTTCCAGGTCAGCTGGGGCTACAGGGAGACCCTGTCCCCCAAAAAACGCAAAGACAAAAAACGAAACCCAAACAACAAAAGACAACAAAAAGAAAAACGTGCTGTGCTTGCTGAGTTAGGATCCAAGCTGTGCACTGTCCTAAATGAGCTGTGTACTTGTGACTTAGTAAAATGTATTTTTAAATCCTTAATGAACTGTTAATGAGCCCCCTCCCACAAACTTCAAACTGTCCATAAGCACATCAGACTGCCAGGCCTCACTGAGGAACCAGCGGACATGGTCCGGGGCCCACGATGCCCCTTTGTTCTATTTTCTTCAACAGTCCAGAAGAGGCTAGAAGACACATTCTGCTGCCTTTAGATCTGGAACAACATCTTTGGGAAATTGCTTTTTTTCCCCTTTCTCTTCAAAACTAAAGCAACTAAGCTGGGTGTGGTGGCGCACGCCTTTAGTCCCAGCACTTGGGAGGCAGAGGCAGGCGGATCTCTGTGAGTTCAAGGCTAGCCTGGTCTCCATAGCGAGTTCCAGGACAGCTGGGGCTACAGGGAGACCCTGTCTCAAAAAGACCAGAGTTCAAGGCCAGCCTGGTCTACATAGTGAGTTCCAGGACAGCTGGGGCTACAGGGAGACCCTGTCTCAAAAAGACCAAAAGAAAAAAAAAGTAACTAAGGCCCAATTAAATGCCATCTTTTTAGAAGGTGATCTGACTATATGTATAAAAAAAGCATTAAAAGATTTATTTCTGGGGCTGGAGAGACGGCTCAGCGGTTAAGAGCACTGACTGCTCTGGCAGAGGACCGGGGTTCGATTCCCAGAACCCACATGGCAGCTATGAACCATCCTTGACTCCAGTTCCAGGGGAATCTGAAGCCCTCTTCTGACCTCCATGGCATTGCAAGTCATGGGTGCACTCACATACATGCAGGCAATACAGTCATACACATAAAACAAAAATAATAAATAAGGTATTTTAAAAAAAGATTTATTTCAGAGTCTTTTTTTTTTTTTTGGTCTTTTTGAGACAGGGTCTCCCTGTACCCCCAGCTGTCCTGGAACTCACTATGTAGACCAGGCTGGCCTTGAACTCACAGAGATCTGCCTGCCTCTGCCTCCCGAGTGCTGGGATTAAAGGTGTGCACCACCATGCCTGGCCAGTCCTCTTTTTAATTACTGTGAAGAAAGAGAAATCCCATGTTCTTCCTCAGAAGAATGGTGTGACTGTCCACACAGGAGACGATGAAATGTCACTGAAAATGACTCAGCCCCTGAAAGAGCATCAGGCACTGCTGAGGGAGGCGAGCTTGGGCCGAGCTGTGTCAGGGGGCTGTCACTGCTCTTCTAGTGTGGGGATGCACATGGGGGGCAGGCAGAAGGCTAGTCTGAAGCAAGACCTAAAGGACAGGAGGGGAAGGGTGGTAGAAACAGTCCGGGCCCCACAGCAAGCAGAGAGGTACCAAGGCATCCAGCACAGGTGAGCACTCACAGGTGCTGGTGGCCTGGTGCTCCACCAGGGCCAGGCCATGCAGAGCCAAGGCAGCTTGGCCCTTGCCTAAAAGCCCAGGAGAAGCCACATCAGGATCAAGGAGGAGGTGGACTATTAGATTTGCAATTTAGAGGAAAAGAAAATCCCCTGGAGTTGGGTTTGCTGGTGCAATTCCAGCACTCAGGAGAGGGAGGCAGGAAGAAGGTCATCCTCAACTACAGAGTGAGTTTGAGGCCACCCTGTGCTACTTAAGACCCTGTCTCAGAAACAACAAAAGATGTGGGGAGGGAAGGAAATGGAAAAAAGAAGTGGGGTTCAAACTGCACCCCAGGTGTCTTTCTTCCCTCAGTGCCTAGAAGCAGCCAAAGCGCGCACCAGAAAGAAGCATGTGCAACAGGAACCAAGCAGATGGTGTAAATCATATCTATGCACCAGCGCCCGCAGGCAGAGCTCGCTCCGCTCTCAGCCACCCTTGGCAAGCCTCCCTGGTGCCTCAAATCCTTAGGCTAAGGGAGAGGAGGGCAGTGCCAGTCTCTCTCCCGTCCTGACTCTGTACTACAACCCTGCCAAGCAGGAACACAATGGCAGTTTTGTCTGTCTTCTGACTCAGAACACCCAGGGAGCACTCAGCAAGACTCAGGCTTATGGAGAAAGGCCAACCCACCTCAGCCGAGCTCCTCCTCCGTGGCTGTGAGTGCGCACAATACCACCTATAAGCACAGGTCCCTGCTGCACCGAGGAGGACAGTCTCATCTCGGTGGAAGGACAGGCACAGCTGTTCAAGCACACACAAGGTGAAACTGCACTGGGGGAATTACTGGGACATCTCATGCTAACCACGAGAGACAAAACCATAGGATTGCCACAAGTTCCAGGCCACTGTAAGCGACAGCATGAGACCTTGTCTCAATAAATAAAATAGGGGCTGGCCAGATGGCTCAGTAGATAAAGATGCTTGCTGCCAAACCTGATGACCTGAGTTCAATCCTTGGTACCCACATGGTAGAAAAAGAGAACTCCAAGTTGTCCTCTGACTGCCACACTCACATGTGTACCCTCATACCCATCCACCCACCCAGATAAATAAATAAGAGGTTGGTGAGATGGCTCAGGTAAAGGCGCTAGCGACCCAAGTCTGACAACCTGAGTTCAAGCTCCCAAAATTACATAAAAAGTCAGACGTGGTGTCCCCACATCTCAGCACTCCTACAGGAGACGGGGCAGAAGTCTGCAGGCCTGGAGGACTCGGGAGTAGCACAAACAAGAGGGACCCTGGCTCAACAAGGTGGAAGGAGAGAACCGACCCCCAAAGTTGTCCTCTGACCTCTGCATGCTCAGTATGGCACTATAGCAAAAACACACACACACACACACACACACACACACACACACACACACGCACACACACAATTACAAAGAAGTTGATAAAGTAAAACAGTCAGATCAGAGACTATCCATGTGGGAATCTTTGACTATCAAAACCACCCAGTGGGCCATGACATGGTAAAGGTGCTGGGAAGCCTAATGACTCAAGTTCAGTCCCTAAAACCCACATGGTAGAAGGAAGTAGTTCCCTCAAGCTGCTCTTCTACCTCCACATGCACACAGTGGTAAGCATGCGCCTGTACACATAATCACTCAATTACTCAATCACTCAGTCCATCAATGTGGGAGTGACTTCTGGGAATACCTTCATTTACAAATGAGAATCTCACCTAACCTAAGCAAAATTAATCTTACCTTCTGAGCTCCTGGAACACCATCTCAGCTTGTTTACAATGTAAACACTCTTCCTAAGCCCTGGGCTTCTCTCCTAAGCCAAAAATACTGCTTTGCTCTCTCTTTTTAAAAAATATTTTATTGCATTTATTTATTTATTTATTTATTTAATTCATTTTTTTTGTCTTTTTGAGACAGG